TTCCACCCAATTCAGTTGGACACAGAAGCAGACTTATTAGATCCACTTATAACTTAACATTTGTGAGGAGTGATTTTGTAATGCATCTTCCTGGGAAAATCTACAAGATTAAACTGCTATCTGGGAGACATTTCATTTTACTCTCTGCTTGGAATGACCTTGGTCTGATTTTTTAGGTATTGTTTTTCATCACTCTGAGAGTAAAGGGACTATATTTCACTCTCACTTAGACACTCTTGAGTTATCAGGTCTCTCATACCATCCAAAATAAAAATCATAACCCTTTGGAGTCCACTTTGTGTGTTCTATGAATGCTGCCTGAGAAGCCACATCTCATTTACGAGTGGGACCAGAAGCTTTAGTAATCTCCCTCTCAGCCAGGTGTATCTAATAACACATGAATAACACAAATTATAAACCCAAGACAAATAGATGAGTTAATTAGTCTTAAAAATGTTGAGGTTGTGACTGCAGTGCTGTGAAGCTCTGTGAGTACTGCCCTGAGATTGGCACTGCTGGCACAAAGGCCATTTCCCATCAGAGCTGTGCAGGCACAGAGGTTTCTGTGATGGTGTCAATGGTGATGCCCTGTGCTCAGCAGCCTTGTCTCCAGTTTGGCTAAGCACCTTCACCTAGGCATTAGCACTGCATGTTCTTCCTGGCTTTAAGGTGAGGGAGGGCAGATTTAGACTGGATATTAGGGAGAAGTTCTTTACTGTGAGGGTGGTGAGGTGCTGGCAAGAATATTGTTCAGAGTAGTTGTTGATGAGCCCTCTCTGGAAGTGTTCTATGACATGGTTTGACCTCAGTGGGGATGGCTTATATGTTCACATCATTGAGGGTTTTTCCCTGGAGTGAGTGGGTCCAGCATTCTTTAGGACTGTATCTCCAGAGATGAATCCTCTATGGCCAGTGGGAGTTCAGCCTGCTGGGGATGGCTGAGAAAGGATAGGTTCTTCCTGGCCATGCTTGGCTTCTCAGTGCATGTCTGCTGTGTGCTTAAATGAAGAGTCTCTATATTTTCTTCATTTCTTCCTCTGCCCAAAGGAGGTTTCTTCCTTCAGGGTCAGCATGGAGCACTGAGGAGTGTCTTGATTTCTGACCTGCTGGAGGATTCTAGAATTAAAATTAGTGTCTCATCTCTCACCACTCACTGCAGAAGTCTCCTATAGCGATTCAGATGCTGTGACTGTAAAAATTTATTAATCATGGGCATTTTTACTTTTTTATTTTTTGCCTTTGTAATATGAGGGAAATAGAAAGGAAAATAAAAGCTACAATTAAAATTAAGATCAGTTGCTACAGTTGAAAGAGACAGCACAATTGTAATATGTTAGAAAATTGCCTCGTTTTAGAGAAAGTGCTGATTAAGATCAAATTTGTCTTGAGTTTAAATTTTGATTGGACGTAAACTGAGGGGAGGGGGGTTATATTTCAGACACAGTGCAAATGATGCATGTTAATATCCTCTGTTTATTGCCACTTGAAATTGCAGCATAGCTCTGAATTGCTGCCAAATCTACAGTTAAGACTCCCAAGTAATCACTATGATTATTCCAAATCTTCATGGTAACAGTGAAAGAAAAAGTCTGATATGCAAAGAACTGTAGCCTAAGCCATCAGAATCTTTTCATTCTTTGGGGCTCAGATTGTGATTCCACTCATAGTAGGAATGGTTAGACAGGCATATTGGCCAATCAGTCTTGAAAGAGAGATTAAACAAATGGATTTAATTATGTTATTTTCAGATTTGTTTGGTTTTTCTGTTAACTCCTGTCTCACTGACTTTTCCTGTAATGAGAAAAAGCGTGGCTTTTATTTAGTTTTGGAATGGTTGAATTCCTATATTGGCATGGTGTGGTATTTTTCTTTTTTATTGGATTTTTTTCCTTTTCCCTTTGTTCATCTATAACAGATATTATTTTTACTCTTTGTCTTTACAATCCATAGGGCTGTTTATCTCCTTGAAATATATTTTTTTACTTCTGTGTAGCTACTGGCAGTTGTAGACTTACATAAGACCTGAATGTATACACGTTATTGTGGTTTATTTAGCTGGATGGAAATTATGTACTGATGTTTGAGATAAACAACATAAATATAATGCTACAATTGAAAAAAAAAAGAATCTCACAGGAGTGAGAAATGATATGGAAAATGTTTATAAGGAGCTCAAATTTATCTGTGCTTAAAATCTGTTCTGGTTTTTAAATGCACAGTTATTCAAGGAAGAAGTTTATTTTGAGGTAAAGCCATCACTGCTAGTTGGCTCTCCAGACAGTATGTCCCAGATGCATCCCTTCATCAGCTGCTTGCAGGAGGGTTTTGCTACTTGTTCCACTTACAAAGTAAATAAAACTTGCTGTGGAAAGCATCTAATGTGGATACAATATTTACTCTGGAGCTTTTTCCTAAATAACTGGTGTTAGCCAGCAGGCAAGTCTGAGCACCCGGTGTGTTAGCTGTGGGAGGAAATCTGTATGTCTGACACATAATGATCACTTTAAACTATGGAAATATAAATCACAGCACTGAGTGAAATTCAAAAATATTGATTTAAATGAATTATGATGTGTGTGAATAAAAGAATAGTTAGCAACCCTGCCATATATGCTTGCAAGTCTACAATCTTTAGGCTATTTTTAAAAACAGATTTAACTCTAAAAGATACATAATATTTTCTGAAGGACAGCATTAGTAAATATCACAGTGTGTTTGCATTACATTATAACAAGCATTTTTCCTATGATTTCAGTGCTGTTGAGTCCACATTATGAAACTTGGCCATGCCTATATTTAAGCCTCATTAACAGTGAAAACCACTCGCTACTTTATGAATCTCAGTCCTTTATTATTTTGAAGCCATAATTTTGATATCTTTGGAAGTGTAGGATTTATAGGGTCAGAAAGAAAAAAAGGCAAGCCAGTATTTCTGTGGTCCAGAGATTACTGTTCTGGTCTAGTGCAGTTCATGCCTTTTCTGGGGAGCAGGTCCTTCTCTCTATGTTCTGGTCACAAACCAACAGGAATGAGCACTGTGTACCTCACTCAGCAGGAAAGTAGTTTGAATTTATTTATTTCCAAGAGAAAATAGATATTTTAAGCCTAAGTCACAGACAGGAGTCTGGCAAGAAAGTACAGATGTCTGTGCTTGGCACAAACACTTCTTCCCTCCCCCTTGAGATGCAGGCACAGGGACAGGGCAGCACATGGCAGCCACATTCAATTTCAGGTTCATGCCATGCCTGCTGCAGAAAACCTAATAAATGAGTGTGTCACAAGAATCTCTGAATGCTGTATCTAGGCCACCAGCAGCTACTGGTGGAGTGTAGATAGTAATGAATTAAACAGACACTGAAGGGACAAAAAGCCCAAGAGACAGAAAGCCATTGGATACAATAGAAATAAGAGAAGGCATTTGTGAAGGTGTCATTTACAGAGACTTTCCAATAAAAATGTCATTTTCTTTCTCTTGGGTAAATTATATCATTAAAATTTACAAGATTTTACAATGTAATGGGTTATTATTTTGCTCTTCTTACTGACCTAGTCACTCAGCTAATGGAATAGATTTGCCTTAATATATGCTTTAGTGTGGGATTTCAGCACTGGACCACGAACCCTGAAGTATCTGCAGTTGTCTCTCTTGTTGAACAATGTACTTCAATAAGTGCCCTATTTGAGGTATATGAAAGCCCTTGAAATTAGTGCAACTGTGTATGTGCCTCAAGGAAAAGTGCACATGCTTAAGTTACTTGTCAAATTGGAGCATCTGTAAATGTTGAATTTATAGTTTTCCCCCCAAGACCAATTGCAGTAAAAGCTCAGCCCAGCTGTCGTATCTGTATAATTCATTAGAAGTTTCAAAATTTTAACTTCAGCTCTGCTCTAAAAAAGTGACTACATTAAAACTGTACTGGTTTTGTTAATCTCTTTCCTTCTCTGTATTCACATTATTGTGATTCTGTTTGCATAAATCATTGCCATTTATCTCTGTAAGCAATTTACAGTCACTGTATCACAGTGATCAGTATTCTGTGGTGTTTTCTGCACCATTTGCTGAATATTCTAAATACATTTTGAGTTAAGGATTTTTTAAAATTGTTTTTGAAGTATGAGCTAGAGAGAGCCCAGTTGGACTTTGAAAATCCAGTTTGTTTGCAGGCTATCAGTTGATAAAGGCAGATTTTTGAATGCCAACTGGACTTTTTTGATCTGGAAAAACAATCAAAATGGATCCTCACATTGGCAGTTTTAGAACCATGATGTTATAGCAAAAGGTGAAGAAGTTGAAATGAGTGAAATTGTAACTAGATTATATGGGGAGAATTTCTTTGTTCCTTAAAGCTTAACATAAAGATCACACAAGGAAACAGCTCAAGATATTATCTTGAGCCAAGGCATTGTTTGGACCTGAGAAGGAAATGCAGATAATTTGTTGTGTATTCTTCTGCATCAAAGTGAATTGCCTTTTTATTCAAAATTTGTCAAGAAGAGAAGAATGATGAAACAATGGAGAGATATTATAAAGAAGTTATTTCTCCTCAGTCATTCTTCTGCTATGGCAATGATTGCTCTTACATTTAGTAGCCTCACTAAATAAAAAGATGTATTTATATGGACATATTTAAATAAGTCATTACTAGTAGTATCTTTTTTTTTTTTCATTAGTCTGGAGATTTTATCATGTGGCCTCATGAACCTTGTACAAGCACCAAAACCCAAGGCAGTCATTCTGAGCAGAGATGAGAAGCATAATCAGTTTGGTGTGGATTCCAAGAGAAGTCATAGAATGTAACATTCACAAGTTTGCTCAGGGAAGATTAATTAAACCTTGCAATCCTTTTATCTTAGGTGATTTGAGTTTCTTGTCTGCAGAATTTTGCCATGTAAGATAAGGTGTGTACAAAATCTGACATTAACACAAAGAAAATAAGGCTCTGTTCCCTGTTACAGAGAAATCAGGCTTCTGAAGGTTCCTTGTTGTTTTTGTCTTTTAGATAATTCTTGTAAGTTCTTCCCATAATGACCGTGACCAAAGCCTTTTCATAAGCACGGATGAAGGAGCCACTTTCCAGAAACAACCCATTGCTTTCTTTGTGGAAACTCTCCTTTTTCACCCCAAAGAAGAAGATAAAGTACTTGCTTATACCAAGGAAGGCAAGGTAAGGCTTGAAGATACAGAATTTCTTTGAAATTTAGGAGTTGCTCTATTAAATAAAGTAATTCTGATATGCTGCTTAGTGTTGGGTTTTATGAAATAACAATTGCCCAGAAGGGAATCATATAGTGGTTTTGAGATTTATTTAAATATTTATTTTATTGATGTCCAAATCTTTGTGGTTATAGTAGTTTCAATCCTGGCATTTTCAGTTGATATTGATATTGGGAATATTTATCCTTCTGCATAATAGTTAAATAATAATGAAACATGCCCCTCCCTGGAAAGTGACCATAAACAATTTATAGTACAGTAGCAAGTTAATGAAGTTGAAATATTGTCCCCAAAGGCTGTTCACAGGATATAAAATAAACTCATACAAAACAAACTGCACACTCACTTAGAAGAATAAGATTTGTGGAATCGGTGACTCTGTAGAAATGTACAATAATTATCTCCCTCGTAGTGGCTTTATACCACTTTCAGATTCAGGAGCTGTTCATGTTTATAAATTTTTACCCTCTTTCAGATTTCTTGTGCTTAAACTGTGGAGTCAATTTTCTGGGTGGGGTGGGCTAAGCACTGGTGAGTGTGCACACCATCTCTAAGTGTGTAGCTCATCTCTCTTTCACAGTGCCAAAACTGCAGCTGTAAACTCACTCTCATTCCAGCCTTGACTCACCTCTACCAAAACTCCTGTTTTAAACTTAAATTGGTAAACTCCAGCCCATTTGACCCTCATCATACCTCACAGAAAGTGATTGTTTAGGTGGTGAGATTAGTCAAAGAAGTTGCACATACTGCAGGCAAATACTGCGCTGGTTCCAGTGATGTTGTACCAAGTCACCCTTTTGGACATGTTTTTAAATATATAAGTTAACAGTTGACCCCAAACCAATTCATTTTTACAGGGGTTTGCAAATTAGGGTAGAACTAGAATAAAAAACATAGCAAACCAAGCTAAGTCACAAATTAAACAAAATATTTTACTTAGCTTTGGTTTGAAATCCTAACACAATTACAAATAATTTGAATGCATGTTATGTAAATAAAATGCATCAGGGAAGCCTGAAGTAATGAAAAGCCTTTGTTATGAAAACATCAATGAAAACCTTTGTTATGAAAATATTTTTTAAAGTTTGACTTTTGTTCCTGACAGTAGATATAATTATTGAATTTTTTATACTTACAGAGTGGCAGAATCATGAAATGTAAGAGTCCAAAGTGTATTAACAAGTTGTCCAGCCCACAACAAGAGGGTAGAAGTATTTATCAGAAGAGAGCAGGAGATAGAAGTACAAAGTGAAGCAGTTGGTTTGTGTTTTGATCAATTAAGCATGTTAGGAAGCTTTTCAGGCATTTTATAATTGGAGGATCTCTCAAAAGGGTGATGCTATTTGCCATGCTTAAAATGTGACTGGACCAAAAAAAAAAAAAAAAAAGAAACTATAAAAATTATTCAGCAAGGAATAGTTCTGCAGGAATAGCTGGAAGGGTTAGGTAATCTGATGGACTTTCTCAGGCTATCAATGACACAAAAAGGAGTCAACCATAAAGACTTCCTTGACAAGTCCTACATCTTTACCTTGGATGTGTAGGAATGAAGGATGCCTTTGACTATAACTGGGTCAGTAACCTGCTTATGTTTTGTATGAAATCTGATCTATTTGGTCTAGAAGGGAGAGGAAGATAAAGTGATGTTTGCAGAGAAGGAGTTGAAAATCAAAATTGCAACTTGACACAAGAAAAGGTCACTGTACTAAAATCAATGATCGTGAGAGATAGTGTTGATCTGAAATTGCCCTGAGGAGTCCGTACACTCTAGGTTTTTGAGTTAAGTAACTTTACCTTCCCTAAAAAAAAGTAGTATCAGAATGTAATGCAATCTAAAACTCTAAACTGGAGAAACAATTAGCTTCTGTTACTCAAATAATTCCTTACAAAGGCACTTTGTAAGAGACTGCAAGGAATGCAAGGAATCAGGTCCTTCATAAATAGCAGTCAGCAAGGCTTCTTTGTCTACTGGAGCATCTTGGCCTTTTTCACAACTTTTGATTCGATTTAGGGCTTATTTCATATTGCAAAATATGTGTTGTTCTTTCATTCAGAACCCTAGATTCTGTTTAAATAAATCTCTAGCCTCTAGCTGACATCATAAATGAATGCAAATCCAGTCAATGTGGTTGGATTAATCCATTTACTGACTCAAATCTATACACTCTTTTTCTGGCAACCCCTCAGTTATAATGAATAACAATCATCTATTTGCTGAGCCTACATAAATGCTTCTAGATTTTTTTTAAAAAATTGTCAAGGATGCAGTAGATTTAATTTTTCGTTTGGAAGCAGAAAGGATGAAGTAATGGCAAAACATAAAAATATTTTCAATATTTTTTAAAAAGCTTCTCCGCACATTTATTGAACAAGTGAGCATAGGCAAAATTATAAGACCTATTAGATCTGTTTGCTTCAGCCAGAGATTTTAGCTGTCTACTAAAATAACTGTTTTCACATCCTATCTAATCTCATTTAAGAGTTTTATCACAAGTGCCTGTTGAAAAAAAATACATATGGATCACTTGGATTTTTTATTGCAGGAAGTTCAATGTGTACTTAAGTTATTTTTTATCTCCATGTTATGTTTTATATATTTCATCTACTGTGTCAGTTAAAATTTCATTTGAGTGTGAATATGCCTTATTAGTCTTACTTCACTCTCCCTAACAGTGAGATTGCAGGGGCTTCTCCCCTCTGCAGAAAGCCAAACTGTTCACTCATAAGCTCCCAGATTTTGATCTTAAATGTGTGTGTGAGCAGATAGTTTGGGTTTGGGGAAGTGGGGGTGGATTTGGTTTGGCCTTTGGCTTCTCTTGTACAGGTGTCTCTGTTCAAAGAGCAAGAATCTTTCATTTTCTGCCGAAATTCACTGATGACAAAAATACATCCCTTTGTTCATGTGCCAGTGTTGTCCCTTATCCTAAACAGTTCTCTTCCCTCTTGCTGGGAACATCTGAATTCTTGGCTTTCTTTGCAGCTCAGACAACAGGGTTGGGATAGTGTATTAAATGATCATCTCTCCAGATTTAAGCAGTCCACTGAGGGAGGTTACTCAGTGAGCAGGGACTGTTTAGAAAAATGGTAAACCCAATGGTTATCTTCTCTGCAATGCCTGCAGTCACAGGTGTTTGAAGATGTGAGCAGCTCAGGTTCTTCACCCTGCTCAGTCCAGTCCAGTTCATTCACAGCCACATCCAACCCCCCAGGGAGGTGGCTCAGAGCAGGATGCTACAAAACACCCTGGCTGCAGCAAATCCTAAGCCACATAAAATTAATAGCAAAAATTTAGCAGGCAAATCAGGATCCTGGCTCTGCAGCCCCATCATTTAGATCTGAGGATGAAGAATTTTTATCCCCAATCATTTTTCTCTGCATTGACTGGGTCAATAAGCAGCCTGAGTCCTCATTGTAGTTTCCTACTCTGGGGTCTGTCTACTTTAATCAAGTGTGCAATGGAAGGAAGCCCAGTTTTTGTGAATTGCAGAGTGACTGGGAAATTCTATCTCTAATTCAAACTTCAGTAGATTTACCCACAGAGTTTATGCTGCTTTACCTCAGCCTTTATCTTTACATATTAATATTGCTGTTTTTCTATAATAGAACATAATACAGAGCTGTGGGGGCTTTTTATCTTTTGTCATTAAACCTATCATTTTAAAACATAAGCATTCCTGACTACTCCTATTAAGATACTTTCCCCCAGAACACTCAGTTACTGAATTGGTGAATTCTACATCAGAGAAGAACAGTTTTCCTTGCCTTTTTATCCTCCTTATTAGAGATATCAAGAGAAAACCCATCTTATGTAAATTGGATCAAATAAGAAATGCATGCAGGCAGCAGGGGGCTTTAAATCTGTCTTTTTAGAAGTCTGATAGAAACTTCCTATTTTAACTTGAGGAAACACATTTTGAAGGCAAATGCTAAAGGAAGGAGATTTGTTAAGAGCTATTTTAGATCCCACATTATTCTGGGGGAAAACATCTTTCATTGGCACTTTTGATATCCATCCATGTCATTAGAATTTGGTTTTTTTGCCAGAGGGGAACTGTTTATGGAAAAGGTGGAGCTGGAATCCTTCTCCTCCAGGCCATTTTGTGCCTCTGTGCTGAAGGACCACTTCTCATGGGTTATAAATTAGTGTCTGTGGAGCAAGCCCATAAGTCCATCTCTCATCAAATCTCTTAAGCATTTCTGTAATATATTTCAGTCCTATTTTAGCAGAGTTTTAAATCCACTGACTTCCTAGCTTAAGTAGTTTTGATGGCATTAAGGCTTGAAGCATAAAAGAAACATTTGTGCTTCTTTGGTCAATGAATGGGAAGAAGTGCTCTTTTACCATCCCTCTTGTGTAACCATGCTGAGGTAAAAAAAAATCTGACCCTAAATGAATTGTGTTTTCACAGTAAACAAAAAGTCATTGTTGCAGCATTTTCTTTATTATAGATGATATTTTAAAATAGTTTCTCTATGAAAGGCAGTTACTCTGGAAAACAAGGTACTGAGCTCCTGGTAATGTGTTTTTGTGTTTGTTTCATTTTTTTCATTAAATTTGTGTACAATCTGTCTTTCTAATAGTGATATAGGGCCTGTCTTTGAAGATGTACAGTATTATCAGTTTCCTATAAACTAATTTTTCACCTTCTTTTCTCCTTTTCTAGATTTATGTATCTATTGACTTGGGGAAAAAATGGAATCTTCTGCAGGAACGAGTTTCTAAAGATCATTTTTTTTGGTAAGAAGTCTGTTATTTTTGAAATAATAGAATGAGCAGCAAAAGCATTTCATTCTAATCCAAGAAGATGTTTACAGAGGTATGGATGGGGATGGTGTGAGTCTTGGCATCCTTTGCAGATGATGGCAATGTTTCTGTATCCTCTATTGCAAAGCCATACTCATGCCAGGGATCATACTGAGTATCAGCACATGCAAGGGGTATAGGTCTGGATCTATGGAGCCCAAGATTTAAAGAAAGCTGCAATGTTGAATGAAATTGCTCTCCATTTTATTGGTGAAATTGATCTTTAGAAAGGAGAGGAGTCTTTTTTGCAGAGAAAGATCTATAAATTTTTTTAAGAGAGGCTGGATCGTACCTACTAACTAACCTACTAACTACCTAACTAACTGGAATCATACATGCACTTGGAAAGTGCAAGAGTGCAAGTGTATATATGATTCCAGTTAGTGGGTATGATTTCACCAGTTAGGAAATTGGTGAAAATGTGACTTTATTGAGAACATATATATCTAATTATTTAATTTGCATCTCAAGTGTTGTGCAGGTATCTCACATTGTATATATTTCTCACAAAGTATCTAAGAAGTGATTTAAACAGGTTGACAAAATGTTTGAAAAGTTATTTGTTATTGTCCTTATTTTAACAAATAAAACTATTTTGAAAATGGTATAGGTTCTTTAAAACCAAAATTAACTTTTTGATAATGTTTTAATTAATTTTATTTTTTAAATTGGTCAGTTTCACACTCTCACCTTCCACATTTAATTTTGGTGTGTAAGTATGTATTTTTTCATTACAGGTTTAAGTCATACTACATTAAACACTTGTGTTCCCTAAATGGCTCTTAAGTTCTAAGTGGACTCTGATCCTTGTCAGTTGTGCAAAGTATAATTTTCCATATGTCTGTGGAAACATGTCTGGCTTTTGGTGGTAATTTAGTGGTGTGCTGGGGGCATTGCCAGTATTGCAATAGATGCCTGATCTTGGTTTAGTCTGTGACCCTCCCAGTTTTTCATGTAGTTGTTTAAATAAATAACTTGTGTTTAAATACTCATCCTGGCCATACTCAGGATAAAACAAAGCAACAGAACGAAACCTGCACAAACTGATTACAAAGCACACAGAGTTGTTATGGTGCCTGCAGATACATGGCCACTGCCAAAGCATAATTTGGTGAGCCTAGGGTTTGCTGCTGCTGCTGCTGAAGCCAGGCAGGGGGAAGGTTGAGGCTGGGGCAGGGACACAGGGACAGTTCAAACCCTGTCTGAAAGAGCTGAGAGCACAAGACCCAACCTGCCCCGCTGCCCTGTTGGTCTCATCAGCCCTGGGCACAACACACACAAGGTTTTTCACACTTCCAAGTGCCTCATTTTCAATCTGCAACCTACTTACTGCCCATAATTTTGTATAAGTAGCCTATAGTTGGGTTGTAGAACATTCATCTGATTTATTGCAGTTTGCCTCAGCTTCATCTGCTGAAACAGTTGAGTTGAGCAGACACTTTCTGCTTACTTGCTCCTGCAAAGTATAGATTTGGACAGCTATTGAACAGCTTATTTCTGCACAGCAGATGGAGTTTCATAGGCCATACACTTTGCAGGTCTTTTAAGTACCCTGTGGAAAGGTATAATTGTTCTTAAGTAGCACTGTATGTCAGAAATGTCATATCTGTGTTATAACCAATTCTTCCCCAGCGGGATTATATAGGATGTAAATCATGAGGGCATGTGGTTATATCTTTAATAAAAATATTTTAAAATGCATGAAGTCTGGAAACCATCCAAGTCACTAACAGGTGAGAAATAAGAGTGGGAGCCTCTCTCTCACAGACTTTTTTTTATTGGAGTTTATGCTCATCTGATACTTAAATAATGAAAAATACAGAAAGCCACTGAAATGTGTCTCAGTTTTGCTCCGACCCAAATAATTTGTCACTGTTTTCTGTATGTAAGGATCAAGGCCTACAAGGGCATGTTTAATATTAAAGTCTGTATTTTGCTGTGTTTCAGAATCCCTATGTTTCCTTATATCATTTGATAGGAATAACTCCAATGTAGTACTTCAAAGTCATGGTTGTTCATAAATGTCACATTCCTCACAAATAAGAATTATAAATTTGAAGATTCTGTACATTTATAGCCAGTAGAAATATTTTCTAAGGGGTTGTTTCCCTCTTTTCTGTATCACCAGAATGATTCCTCTCAAGAACTGTATCAGCCAGCAATAACAAGGGTTTGGAAGCAGATGTTCAGTGCAGCACTACCAAATTATCCTTCTCATAAACTTACATAAAATAAAGATCTATATTTTACTTCCATTTCATATGGAAATTTGCAATCTATAAAGAGTGAGCTGTGAGTGGAGAGTTGGACATGATGGCTTTCCAGTGGGAGTTTGTCTGTCATGTGAGACTTTCCAGTATTTTATGGCCTTTGTCACCCAAATTATCTGAGTGATAGATAGAAACAAGTGTTTGTGTAATTTTCAACAGATGTAAGAATTGGGCTTTGTAGTAGCTTCACTGTGGGGACAAGTCTAGTGTTGTTTTCCTGTCAGTGTACATCTGATGTGTTAAAAATATTGTGCCAAACTAATTGTACATCTCATGATAAATGAGGGCACGTCTCTTGCTGATCGTGGCTGGCTGTGCCAAGAACATTTCACTGGGCAGATCTTTAGCAGATGTTTCCTCTTTGATTTCAATTTGATCTTTGCCACTGAGTTTAATCATATAGCCTAAGATTTTTATTTCAGTCTGGTAACTACAAATATTATCAGTCATAATATTTTCCTGTGCTTTGTAGAAACCATTTTTTTCTGTGCCTCCAGAAGCAGCCAGATCTTCATGCATTTCCTGAATAAGCTTTTATTTTTGTTTTCAAAAAGAAATTAAAATCTAAATACAGTTAATTTGATAGGACGTGTTATATATTTATATTAAGGGAAGGTCAGTCGAGACTCTGAGTATTCTAAATATTTATGTTCAGATACATATTATAGATTTATGAGCAATATATTAATATCATCTTCAAGGGTTTATTTGCTTTCTTGTTCTTGATTCTTCCTTAAATATATTTTTAGATTTTATGTGTGGAATTTGATCTTTCATGATAGTAGAACTAATGAAAATATTATTGGCATCAGTGGAAAGTGTACACAACCCTCTCTAATTTAGGACCACAAAATATTTTCTTCTGTGATACAGTGTGATCTTTTCTTACACCATCCAAACTGATTTTCCTATTTGATTCATTTATCCTTTTGGAAGAGAAAGCTGGCTAAGCCTTCATAAGAGCTGGTCTTCTCCTAGCATTTTAGGAGGCAAAGGAGGTTTACCAGAGAGCTGGCTGATACCCCAGGCCTGTCAGTGTTAAAGAGGCATTTGGGCAATGCCATCAACCACTTGCTTTAAATTTTGGTCAGTGTTAAATAGGTCAGGCAGTGAGACTGGAGGGTTGTTGTAGATACCTTCCAACTGAAATAGTTCATTCTACCCTATTCTAAAACCAAAGAGCTATAAAGCAAAAGCATGAAAGCCAGATTTGAAACTAACAAATAATACTGTCACACTGTAATTAAAAAAAATTGTATCAACATATAGAAAATAAGGGTTTTTTCTGTATAAATATTAGCCATTTTTTAAATTTTGAGCAACTTTTTTTTCTGTAAAATTAACAAACTTCACTTGTTTTGACCAGTTTTACTTGTGCCTACAAACTGCATTTGCCCCAGTGTGATGATTTCTATTTAGGAGATGTTATAGCACCCATCCTTTATAAGTGCTTTTTTTCAGTTCTTGGTGCATTTGTAGCATGGAATGCAAAGATATGAACTATCTCTGCCAAAAATCAAACACCTACCCATTAGATGGTTTATAACTGCTTTTGTGTAAGAAGCCCATTTTAAAAAGTGATGCATTATGTGGTAATCCTTGAGAAGAAGAAAGAGTAGTGGAGTTTGGGATTCCTCTAGGTCTGCTGCTATTCTTCTCAGTCCCCAAGGCTTATGCAGCATTGAGAAATCCTTTTGATTTCTCAAAATAGGTCTTAGTAATACATTAGCAAAGAATAGATTGTGAATCAGCTGTCTACACCAGCACAAATATACCCTGGGATGGCAAGAAAGGAATTGGTAATTACCAGAGAATTGGCCTCAACGCATTTCTTTCATGATTATCTAGAGCCTTAGGAATTCTTTATCCTTGACTCACTTGGATATTTGGATCCTATGCTATGGGCATCTGTTGTTCTTATTTTTAGCTACAGGTCTTCCATTTTCTGGGAGGTAAGAACATAAAAAGAAAAAAATGATGAGTTAATTTTGATGAAGCAGTTGTTCTCCGGGAACAAAGTTCTGTTCTCATCATGAAATTCCATGCAGATACTCAGTCACAGCTGTACCCATTTATGTCAAATGTAGTGGGTGCCTGGCTATTCAAGTGTCAGGTGAAAGAGAGGATGTCAGCTATGTTATGTCCTCAAGGAGAGAAATGCAAAGAGGATTTCACTAAGCCTTTGTCATTGAATTTTGCATTATTTGACTTAATCACTTGAAAAAGGTTTTGTTTCTGTTTCTGTGTAATGAAGTGTGTGGCTGGTCCATGTGGCAAGGTGTGGTAGCAGGAGTGTTCAGGGCTTCTGTGGGATGAGATCAGGAGCTGCCCTCGTGTCAGACCGAGCCAGTTCCAGCCAGCTCCAAGGAAAACCCTCTACTGGCCAGACTGAGCCTGGGGTGATGCTGGTGGTGCCTCTGTGATAAGAGATTAAAGAAAGGGGAAAAAGTGCACAACAGGTGTGAGAATATGTGAGAGGAACAGCCCTGCAGACACCAAGGTCAGTGCAGAAAGAGGGGAAGAGATGCTCCAGGTGCCAGGGCAGAGACACCCCTGCAGCCTGTGGTGAAGGCCAAGGTGAGCCATTATTCTACCCTGTTATTCATTAGCAATAAATTAAATTACTCTTCCCCAAGTCAAGTCTGTTTCACCTGTGACACTAATTTGTGAGTGAGTTCCCTGTCTTTATCTCCACTCTTTAACTTTTCATTATATTTTCTCTCTCTGTCCTGCCAAGATGGGGCAGTGAGAGAATAGCTTGTGAGCACCTTGTGGCCAGCCAAGGTGAACCCAAGACAGGGAAAAACCATGGTAGCTCTTCTGTTTGGACAAACATGGCAGGGAAAACATTGCTGTTAAAAAGCATTTAGGCATTGGGAAATAAATTATAGGAAATAAACAATAGGAGAACAATCTGGCTGTGTAAAGCATTGACTGAATCATTAAAGGTGTGTCTTTTGAAGTGGATGGGAAGGCAGCAAAGCCTGGAACACAAATCAGTCATAAGCAGATGGATTTTTAGGTTGTATGAATAAAATCATAGTTTTTTCTTCCTGAGTAACCAGCTTGCCAAGAGTCAATGCCATTTTAAACTACTTAGTGAAAGCATTTGTATAATTTTGATCTGTTTTCTAAGCACAGCAGTGCCCTTAAGCCAATTGCTAAAAATCAGTCAGTATCAATGGGGAACATGTTACTTTTTGGATAAACTTTATATTCCAAGATTATGAGAGGGGCAGATTAAGGAACCCAGCAATTTTTCAGATGGCCTTTGATTGGAGGCTCCTGCACATCAGCAGGCATGTTTGTCTGGATTGATTTTGTTTTCAGATGTCCTGTTTGAAGTTGTCTCTTCATTAATATTCATCCAAATGAACTGCATCAAATGTTTAACAATGAAGGGATCCACTGGAGGTAGGGAAGACATTTGTCCAGAGCAGACCATACTGGATTAGTGTTTGCAGACAATTGCTGCCCTTCATAATGACCTGGACTACTGGAAACAAAAGGTTTCCTGCTTGAAGTAAAATTGAATAATAATTATCATAGAAGGGACTCATGCTTATGATTCACATTTTGAGATGTGTACTATTACATGCCAGTGGTAATTAACTGAATCATGGTATTCATGATAATAATAATAATGAATATGACATAACTGTGAAAGTTCAGGTGACTATTGGTGTTTGCCCAATGCTGCACTGAACTAGAGGAAGAAAATATTGGGGCATCTAGGGAAAAAGAGAGGTAGCTATATAAAATAAAAGATTTTATTAAAATAATACCAAAAGTCTCTCATTAAACTTTTAACTTCTATTAAAATTCTAAATTCTTAGAATTTCAGTATAGTTATTTAAAACTACAAAATATCTAATGGTTGTATCATGAAATATACATTTATAAACCTACTAAGACAAACACAAAGAGCTTTGCAGTCACCTCCTTTGCACCATTTTCATGCTGATATAATGCAGTTCAGGTCAGTGAAATTACCTGGTGAAGCACTAATGCAAAAATTATGAAGAACTAGGTCATACAATAGGTAATCTTTCAGGAGAACTTCTATAAAGTACAAAAAACTCATATGCATAAGAAAACTAATCCCTCAAAAAATTTTTCTAAAATTACATTTTGCAGAACTATTTTTCCCAAGAGGCTCAACATGGTGTCAGACAAGCACAGGGGAGATAATGGGAGTTTATGTTCACAGGGAAGGAAAGAGGCATATTGAGGCTACTTTTATTTATGTCAGCCTGCAGTCAAGTTGGAATATTTTAATTCTGAAGTGTTGTAACCACCCTGTTATGTGATCTGAAGTGTTGGTGTGTTGCACTTGCTTTATCCCACACGTACACTTGGTCAAGAAATGTTTCTTTTCCTAGAGGAAGACGTGTCTGATCTGAAAGTTAGTCTGAATTTCACTGGAAAACTCAGCAGTTGAATGTAAAACATTAAAAAGTCACCCAGAAAGCCCTGAGTTTACCTAAGTAAAACTACTAAACAAACAAGTGGTCCCAGACTGCTGAGGTGAGAACATTTTTATTGCAAAGTACCCTGAGAAGAGTGGGGGATTTTAAACAAACCAAAAGTAACCACTACTGAATTTGAGAAAAAACAGATAGTTTATAAGAAAATGCTTGTTGTATTTGGAGGGAAAAAATATTAGAATTTATTCTAAAATGTCAACCAAGAAGGAAGAAGCTGTCAGATTATCAGGGTCCATTGCATCTGTGCTTTATAAGACAGAAGAGTTCCTGTCCTAAAGCCAGCTGGGGAACAATAAATTGTCCTTGTGAATGGATGTGTGGACACAGTGCTCACACCAGTACAGTGCACTTATGTTGTGGTAGTAGGAAGATTGTAAATGAAATTGGAAAAAAAAATCCTGACTGTGTCTTACATTTCTCCCTCAAAAAGAAAAAGTATGCAACTGAGCTTTCCTTTTCCTGTATGCACCTTGTCTGCCTGGTATTTTCAGAAGCTCAGCAGAGGGCCCTGCTCTGTGTTTAGCCTGCAGAACATCACACAACTTTTCCTCTGGTTCATGATTTCAGCACAAGTGAAATAACTGTATTATCTTTTAAGTACTGTTGGCAGAAGAGTCCACTGAAATGAGATTAGTTTATTCTTCAGGGATATAGCTTCAAATTCTCTATATTAGTTATACTCTCTTCTGGAGATTTCCTTAGCAGCTGTAAGAGATTTGGTCTTTTTTCAATAAAAGAAGAAAGGACTATTCCTAAGTGTTTGTAAAGCTGGGTAAAGGAACTTTGGAGTTCAGAAACTCTGCTCCATAGCTGACATTCAAAAGTAGACTTTGAGGGTGTAACATCCTCATTGAGTAAATAGTGTCTGCTGCTAGAGTTCATCAGTACACTTAGAGTAATTAAAAATACAAATAATATTTTTGAAATATTCTGTGTAATTTATAATTAATTAAATAATTATAATTTATTAAAGTCTAAAGGAAAAAAGTAGTCTGGGTTGGAAAGTTTCATTCTTCAGTGTTCCTTAAAACAGATCAGTTACATCTTCTTTCACTGAAAAATTGCACTGGAAACAAGATTTGAATCTATATGTGTCAGCTGCCACTGTTAGGAGGAGCATGATAGAAGTGAGATCACTGTAATTCTGAGCTGTTGAAATAAAGATGAGACGGTAAAGATATTGACAAATACCCCAAACTGTGCTTATGAAATCATGTGTGATAAATTATAGATACAAGAAATCATTTCAGAAGTCCCCAAAAACTTTCTTTGCATTATTGATGTTTATTAGCATGTAAGGCTTAGAAAATTCAACCCAAAAGTTTCTTTGGTTCATCTGCCTGAGGTCCAACACTAAAAGTAAAATATTCAGCAAACATTTTCTTCCCTCAAATTGCTGACTACAGAGTTATAACAGGTTTGATTTTGGATTGTGGCTATCTAGAAACATAGATAACAGCACACACAGCACAAAAGTTCACAGATCCCTTCCCTCTGCTCATTTATATTTTCATCAGACTTCAGTGGCTCTAAAACCTTCTCTAACCTAACGTATTGCCTCCAAAATGCTAAAAGAGTTTGTGTTTGAGAGATCAAATTCTTAATAAATGCAAGATTTTTCCATGCATTTGCTAAAAAAAAAAAAATCCCACTATAAGTTTCTCTGACATCTTATGGCTTGGAGGGGGCTCATCTCTCCCCCTCCCTTTCCTCCTTTGGACTGATCATTTATCTTATAGGGAAAAACAGCAAATGTGATTATTTCTGGTTGTTATGCAGCAGTGGCCAGTTTCTTCCCCCTGGCCTGTGTTCTTGAGGAGCCACCAATTACTGAGTCTGAGTTTTAACCACTCCTCATAAATCACTGCTACTAAAACCATTAAACAATGATGTAATTTCAGACAAAGTATAGCTTTATGGCATTTGATTGTTAATAATTGTATCAAAATGATAATCTTCACTTAAGTATCTTAATGGACCTTTTTAATATCTGCATCCAGCTGCCCTTTATCACTCAGTGGATCTCCTTTGCATGTCTTCAGCTCACATTTTCAGCCTCGATGACTCTTGCCCTGCCAGTGAAGGGCCTTGAGAAAAGTGATGTGTCTGTGAGAGTGGGGCTGGATGCTGCTCCACGTTGTGACAGCCCCAGTGCCAGCCCAGAGCTGTCTCTGCAGAATCTGCCTGACTGATGGCAATAGAAGGGCCAGAAAAAAGCACAGTTGGGGCTGCCATTGCCAGGATGGAAGCCCTGAGGGCAGCAAACTCATCTTTTGGCTGAGCATATTTGACATGAGAGATATTGGGAGAAAATCATCCTGTATTCCCATTAGACCTTTACAAAGTTAAATGGTACCTTGATCAACTCTGACTGAATTTCCTTCTCAGGATATTTTTCTCAAAATTGTTCTTCATTTTCTTTGTCAAAGCAGAATGTACTCTTCTCTTGACTATGCTAACCAAAGATATATCAATTTGTTATGGAAACCATGTGTCAAGTCTAAGATATTTCTAATAAGAAAGGAATCTAACTCTTTTTTAGCATTATATCTGCTTTATAGTCTCAAATGTTAAACATAATTGTAAAAAGATGCTATAGTGCTTGCCAGTGCATGTGAATGTCTGCATATCTGTGTGTGTGTATATATCAATTTATGATTATGAAGGTTTTTTCCTAGTTTCATGTATATTTCTACTCCTTTTTTTCAATTGATTCTATTTATATGCATTTTTTAGTAGAAGAGATTCTAAAGAAATTTAAGAAAAGCATAATGTAAAGTAGGAAAAAATAAGTTGTTTATGGATGTTAGTAATAGGACATTATAAATGGGGTTTATTTTATTCCCATCTAGAATTCTAAAGCTGGTTGGTATGAAATTCTCTCTTTTCTTCCATCCACATGATTGCTATTCTGTAGCTGGCTCTACATAACTTGATTACATTATGTTCTCAGGGCTGTTGCTGGAGTTGACGGGGACCTTGATTTAGTTCATATGGAAATCCAGGACCCCAGTGGAGGTATGCAAATGAAAATGCTATCAATTGATACACTAGTATGTAGTTATTTCTCTTTGGTTTACAGGTACTTTTTGGACTGTTTTTAAAACTAGTCAGAAGAGAAAATGTGCAAGTCAGATTCTTTCTCTGTTTATTTGTACTCAGCAAAACTGTCCTGTTATATAAAAATATAGTGTAATTTAAAATCTACTTGTTTTTCACTTTAAGAGGAATTGATGTCAAGATGCTAAGCTCTATTGATAATGTCCATTAATAGTGCAATTTATCCTGGCATTTGAACATTGAACAGTTTTTCCTGATTTGCGAATAAAACTGGCAATGCAGTGTTAGTGCTGGGTGAGTGTCTATTAATGTGAATCATTGCACATGTCAGGTCTAGTGCAGCAGCCACCATCTCTCAGAATTTCCTCATCTTATAGTATCCAGTATACTCTGAAACTTCAAAAGGGAAATAAATGAAAAAGCTGATTAGTAGTCAGAATGTGCTTAAAGAGTCACCATGATTCCAAATGCTTGTATAGTTTCTTGTTACCTATCCTACTCCTGAAAGATAATTTAATTCCTTGAATCAGATCATCTAAGTTCCTGTGCAGTCTAAAAGTGAGCCATAAAGAATGCACAGTTTGACTTGCTCTGTTCCCATAGCTTTTCTTAATCATAGCCCTATTAAAAAATCAAAGTTATCATGTTAAAAGCTGAATGAAAAAAAGTCTAAATCTTTTAGCAGTGAGGTTTATGAGACATGGTGACAGCTCCATCAGATGTTTTCTTTAGAGACAATGTAAGATGATTCTTCAGGGACTGAATGCTAAGGAGATTTTGGTTGGTGGTGGATTTTGGGTGGTTTTTTTGGTTTATTTTTTCACTTGGTTGGTTTTGGTTTAGGGTGGCTTTTTTGGAGGGGAGTGTGATTGGTTGGTTGGTTTGTTGGTTGGTTAGTTATTGGGTGTTTTTTTGGTTGGTTGGTTGTTCTTTTTTTGTTTGTTTGTTTCAGTTTTGGTGGGTTTTTTTGGTTTTTTGGTTGGTTTTTTTTGGGTTTTTTTGGGGGGTTTTTTTGGTTTTTTTTGTTTGTTTGGTTGGTTGGTTGGGTTTTTTTTTTTTGTGGGATTCTTATTTTATTTTTTATTATTTAAGAAATAGCAGAGAAAGAAAAACTCTCGTGAAATATCTCCTGGACTGGCTTTATGCAATTAGGGTCAATAAAAGCATAGCCATTGATTTTAGTAGAAACAGCATCTTTGCACTATCCATATGACAAAGAACTGTAATTTTTGTGTTGTGAACTGTGAACACCTGCAAGACTTTAGTTGGTCCATTGCTGCACCAAATATCCTCATGGTGATGATTTGGACATAAGCAGGAGAACTTGGATTGACTCTAACTGCCTCTAAAACAGATCCAGATTTTAAAACAAATAATTGTATCCAGTATACTGGTTTGTCCTTCTCTAATAAAAAGTCATTAAATGTGGGATGCATTTCCCCTCACACTGCAAAGCTAGTTAAGGACATGGGGATGCATGATTTGCTCTCTCCCACTGTACCTGGAGCATGGGTAGCATTAGTGATCTGGGCACAAGGTTGTGTAAATAACATTTTCCTCACTGTGCTTGGGCAAGTCGCTCAACTGCTTTGTGCTCAGAAGCTTGTGACAAAGGATGAGCTGTACAAGAGCTTAGGGAAGGTCTTAAAGAGTCCCAGGGAAGGTCTTTAAGTCACAGCTGGTATAAGATAGTGATTGTTGGCTCTGCTGTCTCTGATAAGAGCAGATTATATCAAAGATGCAGTGGTGCTGTTCTAAGAATCCAGGGAGAGAAGATAGTCCTTGCTAACTGGAGAGGAAGAGAAAGGCCATAGCCTCCTCTGATTGTAAATCAGCCTAAGCTTTTGCAGCAAGGTATTAACTCTGAATATAGAAATCCTGCCCCAACAGACCAGTTCCAATAGTGTGCTAATAGTGTGTCTGAACATTCTTACAGAGCTTTGAAAATAGGCTTTAAAATTCTGCACGCTGTCTATTAAATGGAGCCTGATTCTTTTCTCATTCATCACAATTTTATACTGGGCTTGATCTATTGATTTCAGCTATGTTGTGTCAGGCTGCCATATCTCCAAGTGAATAATTCGGCTCTGTGCATAGGTTAAGTGAGAAAAGAGGCTCCTTCTATTATCCCCACCCATGAATGGCTCATTCATCTAACCCCTAATCTCTCTGGACCAGCAAAATTTGGATAATAACAGGCTGCCTCCAGGGAACGATCTGAGCTGTAAGCAGTTAATATATTCTCAGTATGTTGGAGATTGAAAAAGTCTTATAGGAGAGTTTAATGTAATAATTCTACAACTAACTCACCTGGCAAAGGCAGCCTTTTTCCTACATGAATAGCATTTAGTACTGCTTGCTTCTTTTTCCCTTGATAGCCCTGTCATATGTTTCTGTCTCTCTTCCCTCAGGTTATCGCTACATCACTTGCCAGATTCAAAATTGTTCTGATAAGACAATGACAGTCCCATTTGCTGGCAGCACTGATCGGGATTCCCTGACTGTGCAGGATGACTACATATTTCTTCAGGTATATATGTACCTCATATTTCTCTGCCATTTTTGGGAGAGACAGCTTATTTTGGAATTCAAAAATAAAGTTCCAAACAGTGCAGCAACACTGTAAGGAGCAGGGAGGAATTAATGAATGATGATTTATGATTTTTTACATGGTAAAAAGCATTCCTTTATAAGTCCAAACAAAAAAGAAATTTTAAAAAAAAGCATCTTTAGTTTGTGCAACAAGTTGAACTTTAACTATGTGAAAATTTTCAAGTGGATTGTGTTACTTTTTATAAATACTCTTGTGTGTTAGGTGAAATGCAAACCTTGTCTTCCTGAGATTAGAAACTCTTCTAGGTCCTTTCCAGGACAAAACACAAAAACATTCCCTGGGAAGAGCATCCAGGGGCAGCCACTGACAGAGTAGTTGCACAGCTTCTTCTCTTACACATGGATTTTCCTCTGAAGAGATTTTGCCAGGAAAGAACTGCTAACATGGCTGTGCTTAGGAAGCAAAATGGCCATAGCTGGGGAGCTTGGAGCAAATTAGCATGGAATCATAGGATGATTTAGTTTGGAAAAGACCCTTAAAATCGAGTCCAGCCACAAAGCTAACACTGCCAAGTCCATCACTAAACCGTGTCCCCAAGCGCAACGTCTACAGCTCATGGTGGTCCAAATTACACTGGGGTTGTTTCATTCCCAAATTACAAGACCTGCCTGCAGAAATATGGGCTGGAACTTTGTCAGCCATGTGGCACCAGTACAGCTCAGGTCCACTTGTAAGTATTGTTTTAAGTGCTTGGCACTGGTTGTGGTTTGAATCTCTCAGAGCTGCAAACTTCTCAAGGAGCAGTTATGCCCTTTTTGTTTTATTAGATTTTAGTAGGGAAGTTGCTTGTGCTTTCCTTAGTGCTCAGCTATCATTTTTCTCTTACTTTGATGAGGTTTGTTTGCTGCAAGGCTTGTATATTTACTGACTTTTGCAGGAAAGCTATTTTGGGGCAGTGGATACCCCTCCCCACCAGTGCCTCAGTGTGCATCAGCTTGGCTCCTTTCCAACTTTCCCCCCTTGAGCCTGTTTCTTCCACAAGGACCTGTAAATTAGCAGGGTCACAAAGGATCTTTTCCCCTCTTGTTTGGCATAGTGGTTTCAAGGACCTGCATGGCTTAGAAGAATTAACACTAAAAAAAACCCCATCCAAACAAAAAAAAAACTAAAGAAAGCCCAACAAAAACCCATGCACCAACTAAAAGAAAAAAAAAAGAAATACCACAACAATAACAAAAAAAAAACCCAAAACTTAAACCCAATGACGTTGAAAAAGAACTTCTGGACTAAAGTAGCCTTTTTCAGATAAGATCTAGCACTCATGGCACGCATTTTGCTCAAAGGTGTTATCATCTGTGGCTCCCCTCAGGCACAGTCTAAAAATCCATTTCATAGTGTGTAGATGCTGAGAACTTCTTCTCACCATGCAAACTTCCAGACTGCTGTGCTCAGCAAAACACTGGCTGCTTCCTCATCAGGCATTTTGCTTTGCTGGATGCCATGTACAACTGCATCCTGAGCTATTACTCCCTTTCATGACAGACATGAGCAGACACAAAAGGTGGAAATGTATACACATAAGTAATAGACAGTTGCACCTCAATGATGCTTTTGGTAATTTGGTCTCTCTAGATCTGAGACATGTCAGTGCCAGTAGATGAGATGTTCATGTGTTCCTCATAAAGGGGAAACATCTCTAGTGTTTTTCCTTTGGACTTTTCTGCAGTAAAACACAATATGTAACGTATATCTTATTGCTAAATTGGTTTGCAGTTAGCCATATCTGTATTACTGGAGGATAGAAGGTGACTCTGGGATCCTGTAGTCATATCTGAAGCACAGCACCCCAGAGTTGTAAGGCAGGACAGCATTTACCTGTTCCAGTGAAACCACACATCAGCTGCACATCTGAGAAACACATACTTTTGAAACTATGTGGAAATTCTTTTATCACTACACTAAAGTACAGTTATATAAGTTATAATCATACCAAGGACTCCTCATGATATCACAATGATGCCTGTCAGAAAGAGGATGGGACAGAATCCTCTGTGCAAATAGACAGGAAAGTTTGAGGCTGTCTCCCTGCCTCTGGCATTGTTCATCTTGCCTGAGCTGTGCAGATGTGAATCACAGTGTTGCAGGTCTGCACTGGCCCAAATCTATTTTGGAGATTTTTAACATCTCAGCCACATTTCTTTAGTATGCCTATATCCACAAAGATCAGAAACTTTCTAATACTCATTTTTTTTCCCAATTTGCACTGACAGTCAGACAGTTTCAGAGGTGATTTTAGTAGGAGGATTAAAGTTTCAACGCTGTTCTTAAGCACAGACCAGCCTTTAATATCAGTGAGGCTTGACATGACTATGTGCTTCAAGTCCATTTTCCTCTGCCTTGCATCATCTCCACTCATTTAAATGAATGATGATAAAACATGCATTTAAAAAAAGCCCGTGGACAGATGGGTAAGACTGCCATTTAGCACTAGTTAAACAAATGATGAGTTTTTTGGTTTGATCCATCATCATTTCACAAATCACATTCCTAAAGGCATCACATTCTTTATACCACAAAAAAAAATGCATACAATATTAAATACTTTGTTACCTTTAAAATATTCAGGCATGTGGACCTGCTGTCATATATCAACTTTATTTTTACCAAGCCAAGTCAAGTTTTCATGTTTCAGGATAGGCTGTCTTTTGAATCTTGTTCCCTTTTTAAACACAAAAATTTAGGAGAAAAATAGTGGGATTGGAGTAGTATTTTAAATGGATTTCCCAAGTCAAAAAAAGAAGACGAGGCTCAATGTGAAAAAAGTGAAATATTGCCAAAGGCTGAGTTTTATTTACTGATATGATCTGGTGGTGCTCAAAGGTTTAGTTGGAATTATGCCAATTTATATACCAGCACATTGGTGTTAAATTTTTGATTAGAAAATCCAGGAGAGGTTGTGAGTTGACAATTTTCACTGATGTTTATTTGGAATATTCCTTTTGGTACTTTGGAACATTACAGTAAAAGTAATGGCTACATATTTCAGTTACAGCTGAAATGTAAAGCAGTTTTCTATCTCAGGCTCTTTAGATTTCACATAAGCTGTCACAGAGTTCTGTTTCTCCTTTCTGTAGACAACATCAGCCAACAGGACCAAGTATTACGTGTCGTACCGTCGAAATGGCTTTGTTCAGATGAAGTTGCCAAAATATGCATTACCAAAAGTAAGTGTGCATGCTTTCCTTTCTCTTCTTGCATTTGTCATCTTCTCTTTCTACCTAAACCAGTTTTGTTCTGCTCTTTTTCAAACTTCATTATTCTGAGATCAACGTTTCTCCTTGTAAGGACTTTTGAACCCTTGTTTTTATTTTGAATGCTGCTTTTATTTTTATTCCATTAATGTAGTACTTGTAAACCATAGAGGGGAATAATGTACAACAGCTTATTTGTCATCAGTTACTGCAACAGTTTTTGAGCTCTGATTCCATGAGGCAGTGCTATACACCCAATGGCAATGAAAGATATAGAGCAAGTGTTCTTTCAAGAATCAATTACATTTTAATTCCACATGGTGTTGTCTGGTATAAGCATGAATACTAATAGAAGAGAAATTAGCTACTTGGTGTTTCTCTATTTCATTAAAGAATCCCAGTACTGACTTTGACTGCTCAATGAAATTGCAAGACTTGGTGAGAGCTCCTTCAGTCTACCATATCTTCCTGGTGGTAGGGTTTCTATATTTCCATAGTAAATCAGCAGTTAAGCACAGAAATTTAAATATGGTCTAACTGATGCAGTTGAATTTTTTGTGCTGCACACAGTCTATTTCCTAACTTTACAGTTAGAAGGCTTCTGCAGTCCTGAAGAAAAATAACTTGGAAGTTTGAGAGATCCAGCTGGATAAAACCCTCAGTAACAAGCTCTGACCTTACAGTTCACCCTGCTCCTAGCAGGAGGCTGATCTGGAGGTCTCATGAGGTTCCTGCTTTTTCATGTGATTCTCTGTGATTCTGCCACTTACTTAGCAGAGAACTTGTTTTCTTTGCATGCCTTGAATTGTATTAGTTTAATTAATTGCCCATCTAAGGATGGACATTAGAGTACAATTTATTTCCTTTTGCTGTTATTGTTATAAAGCAAACATTCTAATATTAGATTTTTTTCATCTTAGATTTTTTTATGCCAGTATAAATGGTGATCTGAAGTAATTTTAAATTACTTCATATTACCAGTATCTCAGATCAAATCCTCAGGTATTAGTTGGACAAAAATCTGAAACTTGTATATGTTCCTAGTAACACTACAGAAATATCTCTCTCTCTATCTCTCTGTGTCTCTATCTTGTCAAGAAATGTGTAGTCAAAGACAGATATATAGACCAACAGTAACACAAAGTTATTTCTGTGGGTTTTAGACCTTCAAGGCAGCCTTTGTGCTTTCTTGGGGGAAACTGTAGTCAGGAAAAGAGCAGGAGAATATCCAGGTTTTGAAGGTTAAAATATGCCAAACATGGAAACCTCAAGGGACTGCAGCCCATTGAACCCTGCACTGGGACACAAATAAGCAATTAAGGAGCAAGGCAGGGAAGCAGAGTGTAAACAAGGAGCTTCTGACACATTCATAAAGTGTCAGCCACAATTCCCTGGCATTTCTGTCATATGGAGTCTGGATTGTTTGAAATAGTGCTGCATGCTCAATTCTTTGCCTTGGAAAATATGGCTTTTGTTTATTTTTCTCTTTTTTTTTTTTTTTTTCCTTGCTAAGTGGATTACCCCAGGCCTGACTGAATAAATAAATTAGAAGTTAATGGTTTCATTTTGGATAGAGTCTATTGCTACCTAGGAACAGGTTGACTATGTCATTTTGAAAGGGATGTTTTTGTGCTCTTCCTAGTTCAGACAATACCCAACAAGAAAAATAAAGTAAATATTATCTCTTCAGCATTTTGACAATACTGCCAGGAGACGTTTCTTTGGTATCTGCACAAAACAGAGTTGAAAATTGCAGGAAGAGGGCCTGGAAGCCAGAAATACATTTTGAATAGTGATTTAGAATAATTATGAATATGAAAGATTTTAACCTTTTCTAAGACATTTTCTTTTAAGTGATTTGGTACCTTCACATTAGAACAGAAATTTTACATACTGAAATAAATATGAACACAGCTCTAAAATTTTTTACAGTGCTATATGTCAGTGAGAATCATCCAAGTGCAGTAGAATTGGATCATGGAACTTTGCAAAGACACAGGATATCAGCAAAGATCCTGGCACATTAAATGTGCATTTAGAACATGTGGCTTTGAAGCTGCTTCTTTTATGGTGGTTGGAGATAAACAGAATGGAAGAATTTACAAAGGATGTTTTTTAAGATTGATTAAAACCAATAGCTTTTGAAAGATCTGAGTTTCATAGAGTTTTAATATTAGATTTTGCTTAACCAGGAGATGAAGCATGACTATAACAGGCTATATTTCATTTTTCTTGAAAGCATGAAATGAAGTGTCAAAAAAATCTCTTTCCAAGTGGTCTCTGTACAGAATTTTTGAGCAATGATTGTTAATAGGGAAGGAAAACTGTAGCTAAGTCAGAACTTGCTCTAGACTGGTCAAGGTTGTGTCTAACAATATCAGGAGAGCTGTGCCAAAATGCAACCTGTAGCCTTAGGGAACTGGGCTGGGTTCTTCAGATGTTATTCTTTTGCTGCACAGATTCCTTTCATGATGATTTTGCATAAAGAGATAGAATGAGCAGTTTCAGACTGAATAGTTAAAAAATGTTTTTGATGTCTCATTTTCCTTTCAATATAAAAAAGTTGGAAATCTGCAAGTAATTTATTATCTTTTTTTTTATATTATTTGCATTTGTGTTTTTGTTTGTGTTTGTCCAAATGCATCCCCAAAGAGAAACCTAGAAAATAATAGTGTGTCTTTGTTCATATTTACAGTCCTCCTTACTTGTGAATGAGAGGCTGCTAAAAGCAGCTTCCAGCCAAGCTTTACCTCTGTTAAGTTTCTGGGCTCCAGCTCCACAGTGCCTCTGAGATCACCTTTTTGTAACACATCATTGCTCTGTGTGTGTACAGACAGCAGAGCCATTGGGGGCCATCAGAATTCAGATAATTTTTTTAACCTTTCTTCTGTGCTGGTGAGAGATCTTTTTCTTTTTGTAACACTGTGTTTGATACTGACATTGCATGGAATCCCACAGCTGTCTCCTGCATTTGACAAGTGCTGGCTGCTGCCAGGAAAGGTGGAAGCAAAGGCTGGTGAGACCATATCAAAGGTTGCTCGTATGCTCCCCAAACCAGAAGAGGAATTTTCAAACTACTGTTTTCAAACTGTTGTTTTAAAATTGAGCTGGTTTCTATACTGTATTCCATTGTACCAAGACTGCTTGTTCTGTGCTGCTAAAACTAGATCACAAGTTAGGAACTCATAGGAAGTGAATACCAAAATCAAGGCAAGAGCAGCAGGACAGCATTTGTGGGTCAGCTTGGCTGGTTAGGAGGGTCCCAGGGGATCCAGCAATCCCCCCTGGGCTGTGTTCAGCCTGGAGCAGAGGAGCTTCAGCTGCCACAGCTGGGAGGGTAAGTCTGCCCAGAGGCACAGGCTAAAGCCCCATCCCGACTGTCAGCACATTGTATTGCCCAAGTTCCTGCAGCCCTGATTGCCCTCTCCTTGAGAAGTGCAATTTGAAGAGGGAGAGAGAGGAGCAGTACATTGGGTCTGGTCCTTGTTCAGGTATTTGAGTCATGCTCTGATGTGGGTAACACTAAAACTGGGAACTAGTTCATTCTGAGAGTTTAAGCAAAAAACATTGTTAACAAAATTTTTGACCAAGCCAAGGAAACTGCTACAAATTGTGGCAATTTTACTATTGGAATTTGGAATAATTTAATTATTCTGAGTCCTCTTCCCGTCTCTCTTAAATAAATCCTATTGATAATGATCTCCCTTTAAGAACTGATACAAGGCATTGATTGATTCTGCATTCATTCATGCCTCCTACAAAATCTTAATGATGCAAGAGCTCTATTGTTTGTTGTATCCTGCTGCAATTCAGAAAGTTTAGTTCTGAAAATATATGGTGTGGGAAAAGCTTCTTTTATCTTTTTCAATCTCTGTATCTATTTTCTATCTTGTGAAATAAGCAATAATGTAAAATTTTTCAGGTAACCAGGAAAAATGGAAGTATAGGGTAAGAACAAACAAAAACAAAAGAAGAAAAAAATCCAATTGCCTCAGAAATAGGTTGAAGTCTGTACTTTATTCATGGCAATACAAATCTCCTATAGATGCCTTCTATCAGATCCATGTATTTTTTTGGTTTGATTTTCACCTGGTCACCTCAAAGCATGCCCACCTCTTCCTAGCTTCAGTCTGAATACTCATCACGGTTTTAAGCATAGACTTCTGAAATTGTCTGTGTCATTCAATAATAGATCTAAGACAATCCTTCAATGGGTCTATCCATTAACAGCAGAAATGGTAGAAGATTCCTGCAACCCTTTTGTGTGATGTTCTCTAAGGATTTGGCTGCCAGATGGTTGGATTGCAAACTGCTGAGTCTATGACAGCTCATTTGCAAGGCTCTTAGTCTCCCAGTAATTTTGTTCCACTTGGGAAGCCCCTTTGCCACCTCTGCCACTCACCACCCTGGGAAGCTTTGGCTGAGGTTGTTCCCCTGTACCAGGCAGAAGAGCAGTTTTTAGTGGCAGCTCCATTCTTCTGGAACTCCACTGGAATGGCTGTTGAGCAAAGAAGAAAAGGGAAGGAGTGGGAATGCAGGTGGCAGTGGCATTTGCTGCAGAGGAAATATTCCTTTCCCAGGCAGTGTCACCACAGCAGCCAGTGAACCTGAGCTATAGCAGTTGTCTGACTTGCTGGGTGTACAAATCCATCTGAGGAGGATTCAAGGAACTGTTCTTTTCTTCACTGTGCAACTTATTGATTTCTCTCCATGAACTTTTTTACTCAGCCATGCAAGGAAGATTAGGAGGATTATCTTTGGGATATGTGCCATCCAGTTACCTTGACTGTGCTTGAGAGATTACAGGAGTATAAATGTGGTACATCTGGAGGTCAAGACTGAGCCTGCAGAGCCTTGAGTCCTTACATCTGTTCCACTACTGATACATTTACTCCTCACCATTCTCTGTTTAATACATTGCTTATTTCGTGTTAACATTTTGCTCAACCACAGCATCAAAAGATTGCAAAGGGGCAGAATTCTGGCACCATAAATTTTAAGATTTAAACCCCAAGAATTTTGAATGATACTTCCTATGTTATCAGCACATTGTAGACAAAGGAGCACTAGTGGGCTGTACAATCTTGTCATCTTTTGTAGCCTTCTGTCTTCAGGCTGTGATTGTACTTATTTGTGTCATAGAGTTTCTTATCACAGTTAGTAATATGATAAACCATACTGAACATTTCTTGAATATAAAATTCTGTAAAGTATTTGCAAACTTATAGGCTGGTCAGTTACTGAATGTAGATGGTATGTGTCTGTATACAATGAAAACAACTTATTGCCCTTCCCTTCCTCCTTTAAACCTCTTCCCTTCTTTCCTGCTATCCCCAACTGCCCCACATCCAGCTCTGTTTAGGCTTTTTGGACCAACTTTTGATTGCATGTTCATTCAGCTTTATCTGATAACAGACTTGACTACATTAAAAACAGGTAATTAATTATGGAAAGACTGTTGGCATCTCTGTGTTAGAAGTAAAGAAATAATTTTTAAGCAGTGTTTTCAAGAAGAAATATTTGATTGTGTCTGTATACTTGATGGAGGAGTTCTTGGATGCCTGTGCTCCAGGTCATGGCTGAACATGCCCAGTTCTTTCAATGCCTTGTGTACACCCTCAGACTCACTGATTTAACAGACTGTGTCTGTTCCATGTGATATGGAGTTTCTTTGAAGTTATGCTCATCTTTTGGAACAAGTTGGCCTTCTGCAAATGCCTAATTATTTTGGGTATCACTTTGAAACTCTCTTTGTGTTATTTGTTTGTTAATTATGTTCTCTGCTATTGATGTAGTACAAACATAGCAGCTTACAAGTCCCTGAGAGAGCAGGAGTGACATGACCTGTCACTGGATGCCTAACTTAATCATGCCAAATTTTAATATGAAGTCTTTGATCAGGATTTGTTTAGCATTTTTTGCAGAAAAAGTAATTCTGATTCAATAGATCTCCAGCTGTCCTTAATTCTAATTCCATGGGCTGGTTCACTGCTTTGGACCCATGAATAGTTTCACAGATTTTTACTGATAAATATACAGATTTCTGTGCTTAGTGTGGTATAACACGTCCCAGTGAAAAGGGAAGGATGAAGGAAAAATTGTGACAAAGGAATTGTACAAAATAGAGTGCACAAGAAGCACCTTAGTAAACAAAACAGAGAAACAGAGAAATCTCATGGGGGCTTAGAGGTTTTAAAAAAAAAAATCAAATCAACAAGAAGTTTTGGGCAATGCAGCTCATAGAACCTCAGAACTGTGCAAAAGCTTACAACCTAAGAAGGAGAATACTGGTATTTGGGAATTACAGACTGTGGCTGATACCAGCTGACATTGGTGAGCTTTGCAAAAACAAAGAGATAAAGAGGAAAGTCAAAATAGCAAGAGCATGGATACGTGGGTCAGTAAGAGAGAGAGCAGAGGAGGCATAGCAGACTTGAGAGGGCAAAAGTAAAGTAGCAGAGATAAGAGAAGGGATGCCCATGGAGAAATGAACATACCACAGAGGAAACAGCATGGTTGCTATGGCAAATCTGGGAGAGGGTTCTGCCTTGGGTCATCTGGAAGGGCATGGGTTCTCATTTCAGCATGGAAGTGAAAGAAAATCACAAGATCTTAAATAGTGAATGTGTATGAAAATGCAGCCTGGAGATAACAAAAATCTGAATAGAGACAATAAGGAATGTTCCAAACCCTGAAGATCTCTAACATCAGTGAAGAAGGTCTTTATAAATTAATTTGAATAAATTGTGTGTGAATAGCATAATTACAGAAAAATGTGGTGATCAGTGGCACTTTGAGTAGCTTGCAGAATGAAGAGAGAGAAGGCAGCAGGTCCAGCAAAAGGCAATTGCCGTAGTCCAAGCGTGAAATCATAAAAGAATAAATGCTTTCCTTGTAGGATCTGCTGAGGTTACAGCCTAAGGTTGTAACTGTGTCCATGAATTAGATAAAGCAGTAAAAACGTGCATTCTCTCCATCAAGATTTTTTTTTCCTTGGACATCCTTTCTGGTTAACTCTTAGGTGACAGACAGTAGGTACTGCCTAGCACTGTTTGCTGATGTCCCCTGTCCATGTGCTTCTCACCTCTTGAGCAGTGGGGGTAGCTGGGATGAAGGAATGGAATCCATCCCCTGTATTTGCCAGTTAATTTCTTCTTTTTAAATTCACCTTTCAGTATAGGAATAGTAGAAAAGTGACATGACCATTTGGCTTTGTTTTAACTAGATTTTCAGCAGTTTGTGTTAACTGGGATTTTGAAAGATAAGTTGAAGAATTGGGCATGAAATTTGCAGTTTTCCTCACGTTGTCAATTACTTTTCCCAGAAGATTGTATCAGAAAGCAGGAAATGCTGCACAGGATTGTTGCAAGGTAGTATAACTGAAAGACTGCTTTGTTTCTTGAGGGAAAAGAAATCATTCTGAAAGGAAAATAGCTGTAAGGCTGAGCTGGAAATCTGAAAGGAAGGAACAAAGTTCAAGGCAGTGCAAGGGTAATTTCACTTGCTAAGACCAGGATCTGTTAAACTCTTGCCTCAGCAAAGTTGCCAGCCAGGAGCCTGAGAGGACAAACATCTTTATTACGAGCAGCCACTGCCAAGAGGAAAGTGAATTCTGATTTGCTGAGTAAAAGTTTGCATCCAACCTCTCTTTCCCTCACATGACCCCCACAGTCTGCCCCAAATTAATCTCCCTGTCCTTGTGCACTGCACATTTTGGCTCTTTGTGTGTTGCTTCTGATGGCTCAGCTGCTCCTACCCCAGCCTGGGATGGGAGACCCAGATCTGAGCCCATCCCCAGCTCTTACCTCTGCCACCTCACCAGGGAAAGCATGGAGTGGCACAGCATTGGGGCAGGGAAGGTGCCTTGCCTACATTCCCTGGGGGTTTGCATTTCTGTGGCACTGTGTGAATGTTTTGTTGTAATAATGTAGTCGTTAATTTTGCAGAAAGCTCCTGGCTTCGTGGAAGATTAGGGGTTTTCTAGAGGTTTTCACATTAAAAAATTGTTTCTTTATTCTTTTTGACTCTGCTTCGTTTCCATCCTTATTTTCAGATAGCCATGGGAACTTTCCATGTGGGCTACCAATCCTCATGTTGCCCTGGTTCTAGGCAGGAAATGAAACATTCTATACATTAAAGAGACTTTTAAAAGAACCTGTTGTTATCAGTTGCTGTGTTTTGCTGGCATTTCTGGCAGACTCTGCTTTGGAGTAATTGTTCAGTACCAAAAAAAAAAAAAAAAAAGAGCTATTCCTGGGATGCTAAACAAAAATCTACTTTACTACAAAGTTCAAATGAGAGTCTTTGGAAACAGCATTGAGCTGTCGTTGATAGGAAACTTCACTTAGATTCCTTTGTGTTGAGATGTGTCACATATGCAAAAATACTTTAAATTTAACTAAACTATAACTAAACTATTAGTATTTAATAACCCTCCTCTGTTCATATTAAAAATCTTTCCTTTGCATTATTTTACTTCTATACATGCCTTTTTTTAATCTAAGTGTCTCAGTCACTGTGCATTGCCTACAGTGTGACTGCCATGCTTTGCTGAGTACTCAGTGTTCCTCTGTTCCTCACTCTTTCTTCAGTCTTAACTGGATTCTTCTGAAACTGGTCTGTCTCCTTGAGTTCTACAAAGTTGTTTTCTTGATTTTTTTTATTTTTTTTAAGCCTATTCATTCTAAATTGATATTGTCTTGACATTCTGGTAACTATTTAATATTCACTCCATTGCCTTAAACTTTTTCAATAATAAGGTGACCAGAACTGAATGCAATATCCCAGTTAAGTTCCAAGGTCATCAAGAGTTGACAAGCTTCCAGTCTCTGTGACTTGATGTCATTTCTTACATAGCCCCAACATCTGCCTTTGTGCTCCCAAATCATGTTGCCAAGTCATGTCCCTTTATTCTCTTTCCTAAGCTTAGTTCAGTGTTGCTACTTCCTGATTTATTTCTTCTGTTTGATATTAGTGTTAAATTATTTTCCCCAGCTGTGCATTTTTTTTTTTGTCTGAGACATTTGGAGTGAAGAAGCTGGGAAAACTGAAAGCAAGCTGTAGCAATATCCATGCCTGAAATTCTTGGGAAATGATTGCAGAATGTTGACTCTCCTTTTATTACTGTTGAATATTTAAGTGGTTGTGTAGACATAGATAGACAAATTAATGTAATCTACTACAATGCACATGAGCTGTGTGCATGATAAGGGCTATATCCCATGTGAAGTGCTGTACAATGTATCTGATCCTCTTTGTGCTATGCTATTTTTTTACCTAATTTTCATTTCTCTATTACTTGAAGATTATTTTTTAGATTAGCTTTGTTAATGTTGTTTCATTCTTCCATTGACTCTTATCCAGATTTTAAAAAGTCAGTCACTTGGGCTTTTTTTCCTTTCACTATTTTTCTTTTCAAGAAATCATTTCCTGCTGAAGTCAAAGCAGAGTACAGATATTGCGCATTCATGATTTTTTCCTTCACTAAGGTGGTTTGCACTGCAGTCAGAAGGCAGTGAGGAACCACTTTGGAGCACTGAGATAGCCATGCTGATTAGTATTATTTTGGGAGATTATTGTTTTTAAACATTCAGATGTTTCCCCTCCCCCCAGTATTAAACACTCCTGACCAAGTCACTGTTTGTACAATAGAAATGATGTAAAAAATTAGTCATTTTGTATCTTATTTTCCTGCAGGATTTACAGATAATCAGCACAGATGAAAACCAGGTGTTTGTGGCTGTACAGGAGTGGTACCAGACAGACACATACAACCTGTACCAGTCTGACCCACAAGGTGTTTACTACTCCATCTTGCTGGAGAATGTCCGGAGCACGAAGCAGCCAGAAGAGAATGTCCTGATAGATATTCTGGAGGTACATCTTTACATTTCCCATTATGTGTAGTCTGTGGGGAGGATTTTTTTATTTATTATGAGTAGAATTAATTTTAAGTAATGTATTTTCACAGTTATATTTAAATAGAAAGTCTAGGATTTCTTATTTGTAGCCCATTGTTACTACTTACATGTTTCCCTCTTGCCCTACTAATGTGTTGTGTATACTCTAACTAGATTCTTGTGATAGGGTTCTATGGATATGCAAATCCAAAACTGAGTTCTTTTTAAGATATTGAAAAGTGAATCTGGCAACACAATTTATTATTGAAGTAAGAAGTTATGCAGCTGTCTATGTACAGTTTTTTTCTTCTAGGTGACTCACTGGTGCTTTTCCTGGCTTAAGAGCAGGACATCTTTTAGCCAGTAGGGTTTTAAGTAGTAATCCTGCAAGCCTTGTGCTAGGTTGTGTGAGCTCTGAAAGGCTAAGAGCCAACAAAATTAGATATTGGGCAGCAAATTCACTTGCTTTCAGTACATGTGTGTGCCAACAGCATTTTCTGTGAGACCAACTCAGCTGTAAACAAATTTATCTTGTATTTTAACATCAGCCCACTTGGCAAAATAAAAGACTATAGTGTTTTGGAAGAGAATCAGAGGCTGTTATCAATTCCATTCCTGTTTAGGGAATGGAATTTCAGAATAATGAATTTCAATGTAACATTTGCTCTAGTTCTGTTCTTTCTGGCCAGTATCAGAGCATTAAACTGGCTTTGGTCTGACTCAGTTTGTCCCATTATATGTAATTTGCCTGGTGTTAATTTAAAAAAAAAAAAGCAAAATTTTAAAGGTGCACCAGACTTCTTTGGCAAAGGTTTGTAGTAATTCTGGATACAAGGCACACAATGACAGAACTGTTAAATGGCTGTAATTAGACTCTTCTTGGTGCAGGAAAATGATAGTGTTTTCTTCCTCCTTATCTCCTCCATCTTTCTTTAGCTTTTTCTTTCTAAATGGCTGTGGTAAAACAAAAAGGTCTCTCATTACCAGTGATTATTTTCTAGACTCTACCTTTTTAGAAATGAGGCTTCCTAATGAGTGAAGCTACACATTGTGTGTAGCCACGTTCCCACTGGGTGATTTATCGATAGCATTAATTTGCAGCGTTTTACTCTTGGGCACCCCTGTGACCAGGCAAAGCTAAAAGGCAGTCAGGTGCAATCTCTACTCCTTGCATCACCTGTAGCATGTAATTTCAGATAAGTTGTACAGAGATGCTACCCCTGGCTATCCTTTTGTCTACAAGAATTATTAACTTAATTCAGTTACACTGATTGTTTAATAATTTCCCCAATGTTGCTGAGGGCATATTAGATAATGCAATTGTAGTTTATTGTGTGCTGGATCAATTTGTAGGGTTACATTAAGAAGAAAATGTACACATGATAAGGACTATACACGTGGAGCCATACAATTCAATTCTTTTAAGCTATTTTTGAAATTGAGTTGCTTTATAGGAGAGTGCTGATGGCTTCTAGATAGCTTGCATGATAAATAATTAGTGCTCATCTTGTTTACTAGAATGGGATCAAGTGCTCATAATGTGTGGGTTGTTTACTCAGTATAAAATTGCTAATAAATAAAACACATATTGCAGCCCTTGAGGATGGGATTTTTTTTATTCTAATCTGGGTTTTCTCTTTCGGGCATTTTAATGCAAGTGTCCCATCTTGGGAAGGGGAATGTTCAGTGCAGCACAGAGACAATCTTCAGTGGTGGAAAGCTTCTCTTTCTGCCAGTATGTAATTCTCCTTACAATTTGTACTGTTCATCTTTGTTATCTTTTGACTGCACTTAATCTTTTGCTTGTACATCAGCCATAAAATTTTTAATAGGTATCTGCCTGTCTGTATTAATTTTCTTTTCTATGCTGTATCTTTTGTTTGCACCATATTTCTTCTCATGTTGCACACGTAAAAGGGAACAATTTACAAATACTTGTTTAAAGAAGAGAAGAAAAAAAAATTAAGCACTAAATGACTGTCCAAAAGGACCATGCCCTTGAATTATGTGACAATTTCAAGGAGCATGTTTTTGAAATTGTATCTAGTGCTGCCAGTGTGAAGGAGTCACAAATATGACATAAACATATTTGCAGAATGGGCATACTAATGCAATACCTCTGCATTGGTTCCTGCTGTGACTCCTTATGTAGATAAGAGCTACATGAGTTGCAGTACACTTCCTTCATGCCTTTTTTCCCCAAACAACAAATTGTATATATTTAAATTTTAGTCACAAACATATATGATATAGCAGTAATTTCTACATTTCAGTAACTGCTGCTATAAAACACTGTGGGACATCTGAACTGTGCTTCTTGCTACCAACAAAACAGAATATTGTTGGGATGAAATATCAGAAATGTAACAAGGAGCAATTAACAAGTCACAGCAGAAAGTCTCAGAAAATAATTTTATTAGGTACAAAATGCTTTTCTAAGAGTACTGGGGAACAACTATCCCCTGAACTGTTTAAGAAAATAGGCACTCTGAGAACTAAGCTCAAAGTTCAAAAAAAATCAGCAGAAAGGTGCTTTGAATTTGCTCCTGTACAGCTGTCCTGGGCTGTTCATCACAGTAACTGAGCACTGCACAATGTTGAAATGTCTTCTTTTCCATAGAAACTTACTATTAATGTGAATCTTTTCCTTTCTTGATAGAAAGATACTTATCTTGCAATTTTAGATTAGGGAACTAAGTCAAGGAGTAGAATGTACAGAAGAATTTGGGTGCCTTGGCATCACAGCCAGGAGATAGATTAGACACACCTCATTTCCAGTATTTACAGAGTCAGGTGTGTATTTGTATAGGCCACAGGACAAATGAAATGGAAAATGCTACAGCAGGGGTGGGATGTTTTAAAGATGCCATTTTTTACACACCATAATTTTGTGTTAGTTATTGGGTTTTAGATTAATGCACCACTCCAAACATGATATTTCTGAACTTGCTCTGAAGATAGATGCCTGAAACCTATTTATTATTTCAAGCAGGGTTTATGCCTTTCATTCAAAGTGCAAATGCTGTGAAGTGCTGGTTGGCTTTTATCTTTTAAAACAGCAGTGAGAGAAGTTAACTGAGATACTGGAAGAAATGTTTTCATAACCTTTCAGTGCTTGATAGATCCAAACACTTATGTCCCATATTCTAGAGAGGAGAAGTTACCCTAGAGCTTGGTTAGATTAGAGATGGAAGTGGCAATGGAGAAAAATTTTAGCCTGACTCCTATTTGATGATTATATGGAATTATTAAATATTCATTAAATGAGTGGGTGGGAAAGAGAGGAGAAACAAAAATAATCATGATGCAGCACTGGTTTTGCCATTCACAGATGAAGAGGGAAACCTCAGTTGCAGTCTCTGATCTAATTATTGTTTAAATATTTAATATTGTGTTCACTGGAAGGAAGACATGCACAAAAATTTTACCCCAAGTCTGCCTTCTCATGTAAATATTTGAACTGCCAGGCTTTTTTTGTGGCTGAGCTATCTCTTGAAGGTAGACTATGTAAAAAATCCCCAGCAAGATTAAAATGCTTTGAAATTAAAGAAAGCAGGTTCATAATTTCTTCTCTTCCTTTCCTTTTCTCACCTGCACTGCAAATAGTTGACTTTTATGGTAGGTTTGACTTGGAGGTGGTTCTGAACTTTCAGCATCCTGGATAAGTAACCCAACCACATATGCACAGGATTTGAGAAAGAAGGAGCTTGTGGAGAGTAAAGTATTTAAATGTTTATATAGAACTTTTTTCATATATAAACTTATATATATTTCCAAGTTCTAGGCTGTTACCATAACCAGCAGAACACTCACATTCTCTGTAGGTTTGGATCAGTTCCTTCCTGTATTAATAAACAGTGAGTATCAAATCTGTAGCCTGATGGTAGGGATGCCTGCTTTTCACCTTCAATGCAGACTTCTGCTAAATGAATGTTAAATGGAGTTAAGACCTGGCAACTGGAAAAAGAAAGGAACAGTAAATATTTCAAATGAAAAATAAAAGTTCAGAAGTGCATCATGTTATCAGGAGCCAAATATTCCTGATCATCCAAAGAGCTGCCTGTCCTGTGCATTTATTCGTAATGAATGATTCAGTTTTGTTAAGAGTCAGCATCCAAGGAGATGAGCAAGCTGTACTGTGCTGGAAATGTGTATCAGTTTATATATGTTGTCCAGAATTTTTCAAAAATTCAGGGAGTCTCATTAATAATGGCAAGGGAACCAAGAGCACTCTTAAGGAAACCTTCACTTTTAATAGAAGACCTTATCTCGTGCCCATGGGTGGAATATACATTAATATGTTAATAATTTAAATGTTAGGGCTAGAACTAAACATATTAAGTTATAATTACTGTCAGGCTGCTTCTAAAATTATACCCATTAACTTTGACACTTTGAGTTGTAGTAATTTTCTAATAAAGGTTGTTTTGAAATAAAATAACAGCCCAAGAGAAGAGGGTCATTTTTTGTTATTATTTTTTCTCCAGAGGTTAAACTGGTGAAGGGTGGACTGTGGAAGCATTTCAGATGCTTGAGAGGGTGATTGAGCCCTCAATGTGTCTTTCTCAGATGATCTGCCTGTATTTATTTCCTGCAAAGGACAAGACTGCTTCCCAGATCAGTGTTATTTTAAAGGCTATGATACTGTGTTGCATTACTGTAATGTATTTGTGTGATATGGGCACAGAAGTTCAGGTTAAAAGTCAGATGATTGTTAAAAATTGCTTACATCATTTGTAGAACAGCATTTTAAAAATGTCCATATTTAAAGAAAATGCAGAGGGGAAACTTTATTGGTGGACCATACTGCCATAATTTTTATATTTTGCTATATAAATTGTTGTGTTTTGCTATATTAAACATGTATTTTAATTACCCTTCTGACATGGAGAGAACTGCATATGCTTTTTAAATACATTTAGAAATAAAAATCAGTTTGTAATTGTCCTTGTGTTCCCCCTTTGTCCCTTTCCTCTTAAATTTTTGCCTTCCTCATATTTTTTTAAGGTATCATCCACTTTCCTTTCAGTTTCCAGGAGAAACTACCTGAGATACACAGTTCAGAGCCACAAAAGAGCAGCTAATCAGGGATAATCCTCGTTGAAAAAAACGTGTATGTGCTGGATATTAGCTTTTCTTCTCTATGCTTCAGGTCAGAGGTGTAAAAGGAGTCTTTTTGGCCAACCAGAAAATTGATGGGAAAGTTACAACCCTGATAACCTACAACAAAGGCCGTGACTGGGATTTTCTAAACCCTCCAGACATTGATATGAACGGCAAACCCACCAACTGCAAACCTGTAAGTGGCTCTTTTTGGTGTCTCCTCCCTCTAAAGTGTGCAAGAATTACCTGCATGGTAGGATGTGCAGGAGTTCCAACAGCCCAAGAGCTTTGTGCTGAGTTTAGCAGGCAAATGGACTTGCATTGCTTGAGCTGTGGCTCTTAGTCCAGTCATCATGTAGAATGTGGAGTCAGTGCTTTCTGGTGCACTGCATTTCATATTTGAAATCACTTTGACACAAAGAGGGCACATTTCTTGTGTGTCAGCCACACAACCCAGTTCAGAATAATCATGGCAGTCATTTGTGTCTGGATATATGGGGCACATCATGAGTCAAACACAGATTACCAAGAATTTTTCTCTTTCCATCTCTTCATATTTTTGTTTTATAATAAACCAAGGTAACCTTTGGCTCCCTGTTAAAGGGAACTCCTGACAGTTGCTTGAAAATAAATACCATGGTAACTTGCATAAAATATTCCTTTCTTTTTGTAAGATGTTATTTCTGTTTGTTTAGATGTCCCAGGTGCCCACAGTATTTTATTATTTGCAAGGATTTACTGAAAGCCTTATATTTTTCCCACTGACTCTCTGCTCCTGCAGACTCAAAGCTCTGCATTTGTGGGCAAAACAAATGCTTGTAGTCCTGCCACTGCCAGAGATTTACTCCCTCTCCCCATGGCAGAAGTGAAGGAGCTGCTGGTTCACTTTTGGAGAGTCCAAGGCTGTGCTGCAGGGCTCCAGCCTGTGGGGTCTGGTGCAGATCAGGCTGAGATGAGTGGGACAATGGCACTGGCAGCAGCTCCCAGGCAGAGCTGGCAGCTGGCTCCTGGTGAAGCTCCTGGTCACATTGCTGTGAACAATATGACCTTTGAGTGCACTGCACAAAGGGCAAGAAGCAGTAAGTTGCTTAGCAAGGAGACATGATGTGTCCTAAACTCACTATGCTATTTTTCATACCACTTTTTTACTAAAAAAGGCATTTCAGCCCAAACAGTTGTTTTTTAATAATAATTTTGCCATTTACCTGGGACCAACAAACATGCAATACTTCCTGCTGTTAGTTAATATTTTTAAGCAATTATGCAGTCAGGAGGGGGTTTGTATAATAATGCTGACTTCCTTGAGTTTGGAAATCTTTTTGTTGAGACAGTGACACACTATGCAGACATCACCAGAGACTCTTGATATAAAGTGAAGACCGATACTTCAGACTGGAATTTGGCTCCATGGGAAGCAACCATTCTTCTTCTTTATGAAGACATACATTGCTGAAGCTGCTCCCTGTCTGGGCTTTCATTTATTCTAGGAGCATAAGTGATAGCAGTGATTTTTAAACCTGTTCTCTGCTTCTTCCCCCACAAGCCTGATTGTCACCTCCACCTGCATCTGCGGTGGGCAGACAACCCCTATGTGTCAGGCACAGTACACACCAAGGACACTGCACCAGGGCTCATCATGGGGGCAGGTAAGTCCATGGCATTGCTTTTTAACACCTGAAATCTGGCAGGGATTCTTTGGAGATGTAGGCTTTGGATTTGTAAGAATACCATGCTAAAAACATTGCCAAAACAAGGCTTTCCTGCAGAATAATCCTTTATGATGAAACAATTCAATATATAAGTTAATGGAAGGCCCAGAGTTGTGTCTTCTCAGACACAGATCTACATCAGATCTAAATCAGTCACCTGGGTCCATCATGCTCTGCTGTGCTGTGCAGTCCCTCCTTCCCCATTAATGTGCTGTGGAGGTGTGGTGATGGCTGAAGGACATGTCCTGCTTTCTTTTTCTCTGGAAGTCATGTGCAGGCCCTTCAGCATCATGAATAACCCAGAAAAACTAATGGAAACAGTGGTCAATCCTTTGTTCTTTAAGCCTGGATACAGATAATTTGTCTTGTAATTTTTATTAATTCCTTTCTGCCTAAAGAGAGAGGAATTGAAAGAGGCTGTGTTGGGAGTGATGCTGCTTGTGGCTTCTCCATTATAACTTACATATGGAGTTATGTCAGTATGAAGTGGAATTTAATAAAGGAAATTCCATTGCAGTGTTGAGCACTCGTCAAGAAAAATATTCACATAACTCAGTTTTGCTTTGTATATTTGTAATCCATCTATTCATTTTATTTAACCTTCTGTTTATTTGTTTCAAAATTGTCTAAATGTTAACGATACTAAGAGCTTTTTAAAATTGTATTATTTTATTCTTATGTTATGGATAATGTTTAGGTGAAATGCACACATGTAGGCTTCTCTTTTCATAAAAGTGCATCTGTTTTTAATGAATAATGGCTTCTACTTTATCTTACACTAGTCTCTGACAAACAGCTTACTAAGTTGAAAGTTTCCTGAGAATGTCAAGGTGAGAATATTTGGTGCTTAAACAGAATGACAGCTGCCAGTACTGGTAATTTTTCAATATAACTGAAGACTTCAAGTTTTTCTGTAATGTAAAGGGAGTTCAAAGTGTTTTACTGGAGACAGATCTATCTGGTGAAATGCTGCTGTGTTTTTATTGGTACAAATGAGACTAAGAGTTTGTGCAATGCCCTTGTAGATAGATTCCTGATATGTGTTCAGGTCAAACCTTATGAATTCAAATGTTTAAAAAAATATCTTCCATTTCAAATATCTTCTTTTTTCACAAAGGCGCTCAAAATGTAAATTCTTAATTTGAATCTCATCATATTAAATGCCTTCCAGTAGTAAATTAATCAGTGAGATTTAATTTGTTCATTATTCCTATTTCATTTTTCTTTCTCTTTGCACTGTAATCTGATGTGTTGAACAGATATTTGTTGAGATGTTGGGTTGTTTTCTTTTGTCTGGGGTTTGTAGATGTTTTTTAAGTGCACTGTTCTCTGAGACCACATTAGGGAGGGCAGGTTGTAGAAAAGTAGAAGAGTATTTTGCCCTTCATTCCCTTCTAGAACAGGGTGACATTTGTTACTGTGACATTGTCTTACTCTGCCAGGTAGACAACTTGTCAACAACTTTCCTCAATGTGATCAGGAGGGAGTGGTTTTGATAAAATCCTGATCTCAGGAGGAACTGAACCAATATGTTAAATTTGACTTGCCTGTGGAGCAACCAGTAATGTAATGGGAATGGTAGAAGGCACCCTTGCTCAGTTCCAAGCCACCTTGCTGATAGCTGCCTATCCCCTGGGAGGGGTGGTGTGGAAGTGGGAAAAGTTTGAGTGCAAGAGAGTGCAGTGTATCCTTTTTCTGGTAGAAGAAAAACATCTGTAGCTGAAAACAGAGCAAAGGGATCGATTTTGGAGCCTTAAAAATACTAGAGAGCAACTGCATCCCCTTGCCAAAAGATGAGCTGAATCAACTCTGATTTGGACTTGCATTTACATTATTTGGATGCCCAGGTCATCTGGATTCAGTGCATGTGTTCAGTCTTATCTGGCAAACCTGATACCCTTGTAAAGTTACACTTCTTATCAGAAATGTTTACACAGAGTGAGCTTGAATTTCCTTTGGCCTGATCCTTGAAACTGATAATCCTATATGTTGATTCACAATCCTGAATCAACATAAGTATTAGGTTCTTAGGAGATCCAGGAATCAGATTATTTGGGCCACATCACACACTATTGGAATTTTACTGTTAGATTTAGGGAGATTGCATCTTCTGGAAATGACTGAAGATGAGAGGATCCATGAATGTCAGTTGATCACAGCATGTCTAGGAATCATCAGTGCCTTGAGCTGTAAAAAGCAAAATTATTCTTGGTGTGAAATAGGTAAATAATTGCCAACAGAGAGAGGGAATTATTAATACTCTGGCAAAATGCTGTACAGTGACATTATTAATACAACTGTGTACAATTCTGATAATCAATTTTCAGGACCAGTGAGCAGGTGCTAAGAAGGTCTCTTTGGCAGTTGATGGAAATAGAGAATATTTACAAGAAAACCCCCATTAGCTGAAAAACTAAAGGACACTGAAGAATATGCTTTTTTTTTTTCCTGGCAGGGTAACCACAGGATAGAAACAAACAAGTGATGCAAACAAGTGGATAAGAACTGGAAATATGGTTCCTAAGCATAAGAACCCTATCAATAAAAAAGCAAAAAAAAAAAAAAAAAATCTCTTTAAAAAGTGGATTTTGGCTTCTTTCTGGGAAGCTTATACAATACAGCTGCTTTTGGTAATGGAAAAGCTATTCCGTGATTTAAGTAAAGTTTTGATATGGAAAATGCTGCAAAAATCAGAGATCAGAGACTCCTAAATATTGTTTTAATTTAAAAAAAGGAATAATTAACTGGTGAACTGCATTTAACACCTAGAAAATTGGGAAAATTTAACATCTTTAATAAAATGATAAAATTGCATCTTTTTAAACTCATGTTTACAAATAAAAACCCCACTCTGTTAAACTTGCATAAATAGTTCTAAGGAACTCATATTTTTAGCTTCTGTCTATATAAAAATTGTTCAGACAGAATATTAAATTTTGTAGCTCCATACGAAAGTGGTATTTTAAATAACTGCTTTGCTCCCTTTAAGAAATGCAGTAGGATTTTGCATTTACATTTGATTTTTGTGCATTTTAATCTTGGCAACGACTTCTATTTCTCACAGCATCAGCTATGAAATGTGTGTCAATTGATGTGCAAATTTTTACTATAAACTTGCTAAGGACTTTTCTATGAAAAATGTTTAGAGAAGTGTAGCTTTTTCAGGTGCTAGTTTACAATAATTGCCTGCTTAGCTTCCAATCCAGATGGCAAATCAAGCAAGCAGTAAATTTTGCACATTCACACAAATTGAGGAAGTGCTGGAGAAGTTCTGTTTACTTTTTCTCATATCAGGGCCAAATATAATTGCATACATTGTGGTGAATTTCCATCATTTTTCACAGAAGTAGCACACTAGGATGCCTCTATCAAAAAAGGATAGGGGAACAGGGACATGATTGAGCATTTTCCAGCACATTTTGGAGTGAACATCTTGAAATTCCTTTAAATTTTTGTTACATTCCTCAATTCTGATTCCCCACTCCCTCATCTGAGCACATCTTCAGCTTGCCAGGCAAAACTGCGTGTCTGGGAGATTTAAATACAAATTGGTTGTATGTTTGTTCTGTACTGTGACTACAAGATTGCAAACCATGAAATTTTAACTTATTGTGCATGGCCCAAGGGCATGTTACAGCTGTATTAATTACCAGTAATCCAGGCAAGGCACATCTCTCTTTTTGGAGTAGGTGTCTGCTTGTATACTTCATTTAAATGATTGGAAAAGATTTTCCATTTTAGAAGGATTATCTAAGCATTGCATATGGGGATTATTTCTTCTTACTGTAAGCATGTCCAAAGTCACATATAAAAATATGGGTAAACACAGTGATAACTAGCACTTGAAACATGTAAATTCGTGGTAAATTTTAAATTAAATAATCTTCCATATTTTTTGTGATCCAGTAAGAACCTGCCAAAATGCCCAACTCTCTTGAGATCTGTATTGAGAGCTGTGTTTCTCACAGCTGTACCACCTTTCCAGAGAGCTTTGCTGGCCACCAGACATCACTGGAAAACATTGATTTCTTTTACATCCCTGTGCTACCAGCTGCTAAACTTCCATGTGCAGAGTTAAAGAAAGCTTGGAAAAAGCTATGTTGAACAATAGTTAGTACCTGTGTTTTCTAGTTTTTGGTACTGCCACCCTGCTAGGATGGAACACATGATTTTATGCAGTTACTTAAAATCAGCCTTTACTCAGGACAAGTGAAAAAGCAAAAGAAGATTTCATGTATCCCAAAACACAATTTGAAAAGGTCTCTAAGAATGCAAGTAAAGGAAATGAAAAATTACTGTTCTTAATCAAAAACTGGAAAAGGTACGCCAAAATATTTCCTTTTGCTTCCTGAATAGAAGCAGTGTCAGAACATAACTGCAGAGCAAAACTGACTCAAGCAGAGTCCATCTAGCAGAGTGTCCTGGCTGTGTTGGTGGCAAAAGCCTTTGGGAGAGTGTTTAAGGACAATTCAGGCGTGTATCATCTCCCAGGCACCGGAGTAGACACACAAATGTGTGTCTTATTAGTCACAAAAAGAATACAAAATATTGTAAGAAATATTTGAGAAATTTCTGTATTACAAACAAAACTTGCTGAAACTGGATGGCAAACACTCTGTGTCACTCTGTGTCAGAGGAGTTTTCAGGACACTCAGTCATGTTAGAATGGTACCATTTGTAGCTGTGGCTAATAAAGCCTTGGCATGGTTTAAGTCCAGCCAGCACCTAAGCATCACACAGCTCCTTGCTCCCTTCCCCTCCAGGAGAATGGGGGGAAGGGAATTGGGAGGGTAAGAGCAAGGAAATTCATGGATTGAGAGAAGAGCAGTTTAAACAAGTGAAATTAATAATAATAATAATAATAATAATAATAATAATAATAATAATAATAATAATAATAATAAATTGAAATTAAAGGAAAAATGAGAGAGAGAAATGAAATCCAAGAAAGGGAAGTGATGTAAATAAAAACAGTTGCTCACCTCCAACCACCTGGTGCCCAGCCTGTCCCTGAGCAATGCCCCTGCACCAACCTCTCCCCAGTTTATTGCTGAACATGCTGACACTTGGCCTGGAATATCCCCAGGTCAGCTGAGCTCATTTGTCCTGGCTGTGCCCATTTCCAATTCCTTGGGCAGCCTCTGCCTCCTCGCTGCTGGAGTGGGGTGAGGAGCAGAAAAGGCTTTGACTCTGTGTAAGCACTGCAGGACTGAAAACACCTTTGTTTTGTCAACAACACCTTCTCAGTACAGGTCCAAAACACAGCCCTGTACCAGGTGCTGTGAAGAAAATTCACTCTACCACAGCCCCAAATAACTCATGCCTGCAGCTGAGTCCCCATTCCAGTTGCAGTTGCTTTTCCAGTATGGACCTGAGTTGCCTTCAGTGTATTAGATTACATTTGCTTGTTCCCCCAGATGGATTTTGAGATCTAACACAGACACACTAACATGATAGAAAAGTTTCCTTGCTGTAGTGGCACACCTGAGGAGTTACTGCAGGTATTTACAGCTGTAATAAGAAACACAAATTTTGGTGTGGCCCACCAGGCAATGTAGCACACTGATATTTATGGGATGTGGTACAATCCAAACACTTCAGGACATGGTGGGAATTGTACTTAAACATTGTTGTCATCCAGTCCTGGGCTGGTCATAATTGTGTCTTTCTCACCTTCTCCTGTCACTTGGTCACAGTGTCAGTTGTGCTCACATGTTATTGGGTGCCACACTTACCACAAATATGTTTTATAATTCTCCTCAGATATGTCATGGAAAGGTTCAGAATTTCTTGGTTCTACTTGGAGTGCTGCTGTGGCTTTGCAGTTGTTTGTTTGCGGTGTTATTAATGTCAGGATTTTTTTGCATTTCATTTGATGTGAATTGGAACTGTTGTGAGGGGGTTTATGGGGTGCCATTACACACACTGTGTTAAGTTAGCTGGTTTATCCAGTAACACAACACTCTACAAGGTAGCTAGGGCCTAAAATTATGCACTTTATTTTAAATCTCAAAAAGAACAAAATGCTCCAAATCTTTGAAGTTATTTTTTATTAGCATATTGAAAAATAAAGTTAAAACAATGTAACTTTTTAACTAGAGAAAACTCATAACTCTTGTGTCACACATGTTAAATAGAAAGGTTTGCTAATAAAAGTCGGGCGATTTCTCTTGGATCTTTGAAGGACTTGGTTTTATTCCAGTTCTATTTTTTCAGGCTAACAGCTTTCAGAGTGGCTTTTCTGTGGCTTATAAAATTTATGCATCATTATGTGTTCCTGTGGAAGTTTCCTTCTGTCTGTCACATGTCAGGTTGGGCTGCATGGGTGCTTCCCTGTGCACTTTGCAGGAGCCTGCCTGGCTCCCGTGGTGTTGCAGCTTTCCTTCTTTTGGCCTTGCCTGCTGTTTCTGTCTGAATCCACTGATGCTCTTTTTCAGCAGGCCATGGTCTATGGTACCCACAGAGAAAACTCCAGCTGCACTTACAAGTTTTATCCTTCCTTACAGAAAAATAAGGAAGTTTTATGTTTTGGGTTTTTTTCTGCTTGAAGACTTCATTTTACAAAGTTTGCAAAATTACGTAATATAATTGTTGTTCCAAAAAATCTGGAAGTAGTGAAAGCTACAGCCTTCATTAATGACACAATTAAACATTGTGTCAACAATCAGCAGGTCCTCCATGCACCACTTCTGGGCTTCCCCCCTTGGCCCATCGATGGACTCTTTTCACAGGTGAAATATCACTGAAGTCCTTTTTCCCAAAGCAGGGTCCCAGATTCTATTCCTGTTGGCATCAGTTGTGGTTTAGGCAGAATGAAAAGTCTCTGCAATTATAACTGAGCCCACCAACTCCTTTTGGTCTTTTACCAAGAAAAGACAGTAAAGGTAAAATCAGAACTAGGAGAAGTCATGTCTGTCTTTTAACAGAGCTGCAAGTACAATGTTGCTAATGTCATTACTAAATCAGCTGGATAGAAAAGGCTTTTTAATGAAGCACAAGTAGATGCTGTTTAGTTTACAGAGCAATTTTCCATTAGCAAGGCAATTTACCACTGAATTCTTTAAAGTGCAGATCCCTAGCAATGCTCAAAATAAAGACCTACTCATGCAAGTGGAATTTAGTAAGTGGTGAAAAGAGGTAGAATAAACAACATTTATTCAGGAGCAAAACTAACACTGCATTTATTAAAGTTATCTGTGTAAAGAAGAGTGTAGACTGACAGCAGTATGTTAGATTCTAGCAAGCAGATAAATATTTCTGTTTTCAGCTGTCCTATAGAAAACATTCTGTGATTAACTTCAGTAGCACAAGAATATGTCCATTTGCAGGTGATATAGCAGTGAAAAGTATAACAGAGTAAAGTAAGAATAGCAGAAGAAATGTATTTTGTATATGCAGTTTATCAAATCTTCCTTCCCTTCCTTCAGCCCTGAGAAGGTGATTTCTCATTCATATCTCCTTCTAGTGATCAGATTAATCTTAAAGCTGAATTTGGGGAGAAAATATAACTGAATTAATGTCTGCAGCTTTCCTTTTGGAACTATTTCATTTGGTTATATTCATGGGAGGTCTAGGTTAGATATCAGGAAAAGGTTTTTCACCCAGAAGGTGATTGAGCTTTGGAATAGCTCCCCAGGGAAGGGGTCACAGCACAGCCTGACAGAGTTCAAGAAGCATTTGGACAATGCTCTCAGGCACATGGTGTGATCCTTGAGGTGTCCTGTGCAGGGCCAGGAGTTGGATTCAATGATCTTGATGGGTCTCTTCCAACTCAACATATTCTATGATTCTATGAGCAACTAAATCTTTACTGAATTACGTGATAAATGAGAGAATGTGGAGTGTGTTGGAAAGATGAAAACCCAAGAAAAGCCCAAGAATGGGAAATGGCATCTTCTGAACTGTTAGATGCAATTGAAAGGAATTAACTGACTCCTATAAATTCCCTGATTCGATATAAGTATTCCAGTTCTGTCTGGGATGTATTTAGGATTGAATGAGGTAGAGTTATCTAATCAAAGAGTGGAGCACATGCACCCTTGATGGTCTAAATAGAGTGTGTATTTTGGGCAGTGGGTGCTGTCATTCCTCTTGGGAACCTTTCAGCACATTCTGTATAAACAGATCTGGTCTAGTGGTTAAAAACCAGCTATTTATATAATACACAAGTGAAATTTCATAGTGCTGTTCTAATCTCAAGTGTTTTCTTTCATCATCTCTTCTGCTTAAGAGGATCTGATAATTTTCATCTTATTTCTATAGTGAAAACATTCAAACCATATATTTAAGTCTAAATCCCCAGGAGGATATCATTTAGAAGGAATATTGTGCCATGCATGATTCTCCCCTAGAACATTAAGCTGCCTGATGGTTTAATAATTTGCTATTTGAAGTACTGCATGTTAAAAGATGGAGATCTCTGTATTTGGGACTGCATCTGCTATCATCTTCCCCAAGTTTAACACTTCTGTTAACTTTGAATTCAGTTAACTGAATTCTCCTCAATGCTATTTGTCAGTATATTCAGTAACTTTCTGCTTACTATTTCGGTAAATCAAATAATTCTGCTTTCAATTCTTTTGTATTTACTCTTTTTCAAAAGCCCTATACCCTCTTTTTATGTTGCATATTTCACCAGATTCTAGTCTACTACCACTTTATCAAGCTTTAAAGATAAAATATTTCATTTTAACAGTTTGAGTACAATGTGAATAACTTTACAGAATATTAAGGTTAAAACTTCTGAGTTTATGGGTGTTTCATATTTACATCTTAAATACATGTTGTTTCGTAATAAATTTTCAGCGTGCAGCAACAAAACTAAAATGTTGGTATTTTGGTATTAGAATCAAGCCTCATTGCTTCCACCTATGGACAACTTAGCAATGGAAAGGAGAACTTTGAAATTGTACATTTGTGTTTTTAGAGGATTTAGCTGGTTCTACCAGAAATGAAGTAAGCCTGTTCAACTGTGTTTAGTTCTTGCTCTGACCTGGAAACTTCTTACTCAGACTGGCATCAGGGCTAGATCCAATCTCTCTTGCTCATGTGGATGCAACCCTTGTTTTCTCCTCTTTTGTGACAGGTAACCTGGGGTCCCAGCTGGTGGAGTACAAAGAAGAGATGTACATAACATCTGACTGTGGCAACACGTGGCGTCAGGTAGGAGGCATAAATCATCAAAGGAACTGGAAATAATTCTAATGTACCAAATGTCATGAATTATGTAATGCTTAACTAATCTTTAGATACTCACTCTTTTGAAGGAGGTGGTATTATTATCTCCAGTTTGCTTGGAAACTAAGAGATTAAGAAGGTGATTTTCTAAGACTAAAATTGATCAACCTGTCAGGTTCTGCTGAAGTTCAAATATTTTGGTCTCTTTAAAGATCCTGTAAGTATCTTATGCAAAAAACATAGTGTCTGTTTTGGTTTTTAATAATTTAAATAATCTTCCTATGCTAATGATGAAGTGGACTTGGACTAGATCTTACAGTACAAATATTCTGAGCTAAGAGACAGCTTAGGTACAAGGGCAAAAATTCTTCTGCTTCAGTCTGAAAGCTGTTACTAAAGCATAAACTTTTTCTTCATTGAAACGGGGACAGTGAAAAGATATTTTCAAAAAATAATAAAAATTCTTAAGTCTTTTGGTGTGATTTAATAAATTGAGAAACTACAAATACCAAAGTGTTAAAAAGAGAACAGTGATTTCATAATGCTACTTGTATTCTGGATGGTTTTTTCTTCCACTGGCTAGTGTCAGTTCAAGCATTTCACCTTTCTCATGTGTTGTTTCCTAAGCTGCTCTGTCTCAGTGTGGTGGCTTTGCCCTGGCTTGGTACCAATCTCTCTCTGTCACTGCTCTCCTCAGCTGGACAGGGAGGGAGAATATAACAAAATCTCATGGGCTGAGATAAGAACTAGGAGAAGTTGGTCACCAATTACCATCACAGGCAAAACAAACCCAACTTGGGGTATTTATTTGATTGCCAATTAATAGCAGAGTAGGATAGTGGGAAATAAACCCAAATCTTACACCACTTTCCCCTACCTCTCCTTTCATCATGGGCTCAATTTTACTCATTAACTCTCTACCTGGTGGATCTCTGCTCCGTCCTGGGGCTCCATGGGCTGCAGGTGGATCTCTGCTCCATCCTGGACCTCCATGGGCTGCAGGTGGATCTCTGCTCCATCCTGGGGCTCTGTGGGCTGCAGGTGGATCTCTGCTCCATCCTGGGGCTCCATGGGCTGCAGGTGGATCTCTGCTCCATCCTGGACCTCCATGGGCTGCAGGTGGATCTCTGCTCCATCCTGGACCTCCATGGGCTGCAGGTGGATCTCTGCTCCATCCTGGGGCTCCGTGGGCTGCAGGTGGATCTCTGCTCCATCCTGGGGCTCCGTGGGCTGCAGGTGGATCTCTGCTCCATCCTGGGGCTCCAGGGGCTGCAGATGGATCTCTGCTCCATCCTGGGGCTCCGTGGGCTGCAGGTGGATCTCTGCTCCATCCTGGACCTCCGTGGGCTGCAGGACACAGCTGCCTCACCATGGGCTGCACTGGGGGCTGCAGAGGAACCTCTGCTCTGGCACTTGGAGCACCTCCTGCCCCTCCTTCTGCACTGACCTTGGTGTCTGCAGGGCTGTTACCCTCTCATATCCTCACCTCTTCACTCCTGTTGTAGTTGCTGTTGTGGACTTGTTAAATACATTATCCCAGAGGTGCTGCTGCTGTCACTGATAACTGAACCTTGAGTTGAGTCAATGGACCAGTGGCATGTCCATCTTGAAGCTGGCTGGTGTTGGCTGTAGGATGTGGGAAAGCTTCTCTAGAAGTGTCTCAAGGAAGCCACCCCAGTGGACTAACCTGCTACCAAACATTGCTGTGCAAACCCAATGCACTCAGCATAGGGGTATTTTCTTTCTCTATATATGTATATAGCAACAATACACAATATCATATAGATTCTACTTATAATAGATATCCAGGATAAAAAAAAGCACCCTCAAAGGACCAAAGTGTTTTCAAAAAATAATTTAATTTCAGTTAAAGTAGTGTCGTAGTGTTCAGCTGAAATAAAATTTTGTTATTTTTTTAGAACCATTAAGTGTGAAAATATTTTCAGTAGTGTTACTGACTGAACTTGGGGAATTTGAGGTTAAAAGAGAAAAATACAGACAGTTTCTTATATTGCTGTGGTAGGGTTCCATTAGTACTCCACAGAGCACTTTTAAAAGAATTAGGTTATTTTTGTAATGATAATGTCCTTTGATGTTTAAAAGATAAAATTTTATACCAAATTCCGTCTTGAAATCTAGCATACAATAAATAGGTGTGTAAATGCAAAAGCCTTCCAGGATTTAAAGTGGGTACTGGGTTGTTTAATACTTTTAGAGGCCTCTCATAATTTCTTGTCAGCATTTGCCAAAGTTTTATAGTTTTTCTGGGGTGAAAAATAAGAAGAAAAGAGGAATGAGATCAAATTAATATTTTCACTGCTTTTTATTTGTAGAGACATGCAGGTAAATGATATATATTGCACCTTACTTGACCCTAAGGTGCCTATTTATGCTGTAAAATCAACCACAAACCAATCCCTCATTGTGACAGTCTGACAGTCATGTGGCAAACAACATTGCTAGCTTTATTTTAATTGAAACTCCTCTGAAGCCCTTGAAAGAGCTTACTAAACTCTAATATTTGTGATCAGAATGAAACTGTAGATTGTTTTATGTATTTCATGGCCTCACTGTGCACAATTAAACAATTCTTTCAGAGGACAGCAGCACATTTCCTTTCTCTGCTGGAGTTTTTACAACAAAAGAGAAGGCTTCAGTCAGGTGATACAGGAATTTAGATAATTCAGTAAATTGCAGGTCTTGTGAGCTGGTGAAATCCTGTGCTTTGGCACAACACTTTGTCTAAGTCTCAGCCTTGGAGACTTTGTGGTTGTCATTAATGAGGGCCTGGCACCTTTCTCACAAGCTCACATGATGTTACTGAGCTGGGTACAGAGCAGGAGAGGAGCAGTCTGTGCTTCTGTATAGGGACAGAGAATGAGGAAAAGCAAACCTAAGAGACTTTGGGGAAAATGTAGTGCACGGAATTAATTAAATCTTTATTGACATAATAGCAGTATTGGTTCATAGGACTGTGGATTAGAGCACTGTGGGGAAGGTCAAAGATCCTGTAATTCAATGGTGTGCTCTGAGACAGCACCAAACCTACCATAGCTTGCATTTGATGTGGTCATGTAAGGGTTCAGGAAGACTTACCTATAAACACAGCCAGAGTGCATAGACAGAAATGAATGATTGAATAAGAGGTTTTGAAAGTAAATTCTGGTGATAAATAGAAATATCCAGGAAAATCAGAAGGTTGGTGAGGAGGACTGTAAACACAGTCAAGTGCAGGTGTCAAAACCCACATATATCATATTATTAATTTTTTTGGCCCACTGTGTTGGACAAGTCCAACATCTGTGTTTAGATAACATAGGCCTGTGATAGATGCACAGTATCAAACATGGCTGAGATCCCTGCCCTGCTGCTTCAAAGACCAAGCAGAGTGGTAAATGATGTCTGTGCAAACCCCTACAGTACAGTAGGCTGGGTGATCCTCTGGCATGGACTGAGCTCTGCAGTGTCTGCATCCCCACTTGTATGCCTTTGCCCAGCTGCTGCTTCAGGGCTCCCCTGGTTGGCCAGGTAATGAGGATAAATTTATTATTGCATTTCATCTGTGGTTTCGTGGTTGTTCCTGCTTCCTGTCTGTGTCAGCTCACACAAGAAGCAAAACCAAGAATTGTTATTCTAAATAACCACAATACCACTTGTGCTAGTTCCAGTTGTTCTTCTACCTTTTTGTTGCATAGCTGAGCTGCTTGTTGGTATATCTTGAAACCATCACTCTTTTGTTTGAAGAAAACTGAAAATTGTGGCTATGTACTGTGCAACATTGCACTGTAATTAGCAGTAGTGCTTTAGGAGCTGTTTGGGAAGCAGCTTAAACACCCATGCCATGAACTGGATTGTAGAAGAAAGGAATCTCACTTTGACATTATCATGAAATATTTGGGCTTGGAATCATAGAATCATTAAAGTGAGAAAAGACACTTAAGATCACTAAGTCCAGCCGTTAACTTAAGTGCCAAGGGGACTGTGAAGATGTAGCCTAAGGTGAACTCATGTTTATTTGAAAGATTTCTCTATTATACCAGGAGAACAATATAATAAAATGTGTTAATGAACAGGAAATATTAGGATACTCTGTTGAGTGCTAAGGATTATGTATACATATGAGTGTTTTTATTTTATTATAATACTGATATCTGTTCAGAAGTCTGGTTGCTGTTGTTATGTTAACAGCATCTGTTACAACACTGTACTTGAAATACAGCAAAGTATTTATACAGAAAAGAGTAAGAGAAAGGTCTGGATTTCAAAGAAAATGGCATAAATAAAAGGAAGAAGTCAGCAATAATAAACCTTTCACATTTGATCTGCTACCAGAGTAGCTCTTGCAGCAACAAAATGTTCAGCAAAACTAATGAGGTTGCAGATAAAGCCTTTTGGATGTCTAGGAACTAAATCTAGATCTCTGGAGCTTTAGTCTGCTGGTTTTTTGTTGGAATATTATTTAACTGTGTCAAATCCTTGTGTATCAAAGCAACTTGAAAAACCTTTGGTTAAGTGAGACTACGTGTTTTCCTGCAGGCATCTTAGGAGATAGATGGTAACACTTATAAGCACAACAAAATAGAATGTAATTCCAGCCTTTCAACCCTGAGAACTGTGGCTCATTCTGTGTAGAAAAGCTTCTGTTTCCAGATTTAAATTTAGTAATGGATATCACTTGAAATAAAAAGGTAATCTCAGGAATTTTTGTTTATTCTTGCAACTTCTGTAATACGAAGTAAAATTGTATGGCATCTATTTTTCTAGGAGCACTTAAATATGCTTTCACTGATTTCATGGAGCTGTCCCAATTTCTTCCAACAGATATTCTGGCCTGAAATAGCTGCTGGAGTGTTGGGACAGACATAGGAAAAAAAGCATTTAGAGCAGAAGGAGGAGGATAGAATAGGAGATGATATTGTGACTATAAAGCACAAAAAAAATACAGAAATAGGTTATAAAAATCTTTTTCTGTTGTGGCTGGCTAGTAGTAAGGATCAGAATAGATTTATTGCCTACTTTAGTTAGTGTAGAGATGTATATCAAAATTCGTGGCCAGAATTTAGTTAGTGGAGAGATGTGTATCAGAATTCATGGCCTGCTGTGAACTCAGATATCTCATCTTCATAGGTCTGAACTTCATCTCTCACACTGGGACCACCTTTGCCTCAATCCTTTGCAAACTGTTTGTCTTGAGTTTTTTTACCAGCAAGTAGAGATAAATATTTACTTTTGTGATAAACAGGCATGAAACTGTTCATTCTTTTCAATGTATTGAAGATGAAGAATTATTTTCATAAGGCTTTCATACATTTTGTTTATAAAAAGTTTGAAGTGTGTGCAAGAAGAGCATGAAATAACAACTGCATTAATATGCCTGTAACGTGTCCTCTGTGCTTTATAGTGTGCTAAAGCAGGGTTATTAAAATGCTACATGAGGACCTACCATGGTGCTTTTCTGGAAAAGGCTGATTTGCATTAAGTGGTGCAGGTATCAGCTTCCTTTATCTTTGGTGCTGAAGCTATGGGAGACTTGTGTCCCAGCACATCCTGTTGCATTTTGGTTTGAAGGGAAGGTCAAACAAAGTTTAGAGGAGGATCAAAACTCTGCTTGCTTATCTGACTCCAGCTGATCTCATCCTTTTGAAGTGCATCTAAAATTAATGTCTGTCCTTTACTGAATTCTCTTCTAAAATATGCAGCTGGAGGAATGAATAGGTTGGACTATCAGTGCCTCATATCAGGGGTTTGCCTATAAACTGGCAACACTGAAAAACTGCTCAGACCCTTGAAGTCCTAGGATTCCCATAAAATATGTTCTTACTAGATGAGAGGAAGACTGAGTTCTCAAGCCAAATTAAATGCTTCCTATTTTTGAAGTAATTGTGAGTGTGCTGCAAGATATTTTCACCCCAGCTCCAGCTCAGTGTTTCTGAGAAATCCTCTAAATGTAGCACTTCATTTTCCAAAAGAAGAAAATAATTTAGTATTGTCAGTATTTTTTCATTTACAAGGCAAAGTAAAGCTAACCTTTATCATTTTCACCTTTGCTTTGTCAAAGCATGCGGGAGACTGCATGTTTGTCTATAAAGGCTAAGTGTGTATAATTCCCATGTATCACTTGGTTTTGTGTTTAATGAACTACAGAGGTTAATTACAAAAGTAAATCCTGTCTTAAAACAGATTTTAGATGTAAAACAGGAAAGGTATCTACCTGTGCTTTTATTTTAGTACTGCTAGTCACCTCTAGAAAAGGAATTAAAATAATTTATGAAGTTTTTAATCCTTTATACCATTAAATCAATATTACATGTATCTTGGTTCCAAACTCACAGTGGTCTCCATGGGACATCACATAATATTTGAACTTAAACTCACTGACATTGGAAATGCAGAAAACATCTTGCACCAATTATTTCACGTTGTGTAGGTTCTGGGGAATATGTGAGAAAGTCACAGACAGCAGTACTTTTCCTTTTTTTCTTAGAATTAGACTGCAAAGCATTTTATTCTGCAGGATACACAGAATATGGCAAACACCAAAGTAAGGTGATGGGTCACTTGGTGATATATAACAGGAAGGAATGCAGAATGCACGCTATGAGAAATATAAGCTTGGGCTAAAATCACTTTAGGCAGTTTAATCTGACTGTGATTTGAACCTGAACATTTTCTGATTCACCTACTTAATTTTCTTTTCTTTTACAGCTGGGAGAAATATAAGACTTAACACGACTTTTATGTTCTTTTCAGTTTGAAGTGTGGACATTATAAAACATAAGTCTCTTAATTCTTGTTTGCGTGTTCATTTTATTTCAGCTGTTTTGTACATTTGCTTAGCTGGCCTTTCTTTGTCTGACTTGTAGGTCTTTGAAGAAGAGCACCACATCTTGTACTTGGACCATGGTGGAGTTATTGTGGCTATCAAAGACACCTCTATTCCTCTGAAAATACTCAAGTAATTCTACAGTCAATTAGAGTAGAGCTGTTGTGTATTCAAGACCTCAGGCAAATTTCAGAGTTTAAGATAAGCATTTCATTGTGATCATGTATGAAGCACAGGTGGAATCAGCTTAATTTAACATTCATTGAGTCAACAAAAATGCTGTTGGATGTTTACTTTAAGATGACTTCATGATGCTGAAGATACCATGGCATCATGCATTAATCATAATAAAATTTCTTGCATCTGTGTAGGCAATTTTTGCTTAAAAGACTCTTCTGGAACTCTACAGTAGCCATGTTCAGCATAATTGTTTATCTGCTGCTGGCTGGCACCAGCAGTGCGTGTCAGTGATGCTCAGCCTGTGCTGCATACATGGCTTAGGTGTGAAATCAGGAGAGCTCATTGATACTGTCAAGTCTCTGTCCTCTCCAAGGGCCATAGGGAAATTGGAGAATAGCCCTGGGTTTCTCTGGCAAGAGCAATTTATTGTAGAGCTTGAGAGCCAACAGGTGAAGGACTTATTTGCGCTTATGTGCTGTGTAGTTTAGTGTGCCAGAATCACAGCTCATCTGAGATATTCATGCACAAAGTAACTGCAGTGTGCATAGATCTTCTCATAGGTGACAGTGCAGCAAATGGCCTTCTCAGCCTGTTTGGCAGAAAAGGTTTGTGCAAAGCAGTTTGGTATAGAATATCAAGTTTTAGACTGCATAGATAGTGCAGCAAAACATGGTAACCTTGTGTAATGGCACACAGAACTATAATCTTCAGCATAAAAATACATCTTTAAAAAAGACATTAAAAGACATAAAACCACATCTTTATCACTTGTGAATTGGCTCATTTTTGCAGAACTGTGTTATATACATGAATAGGAACTAGGCTCTGTACCTGGTTATCTGGACTGAAAGCCATCATTAACCCACTGACCAAAAGACCTGAAGGAAACGTACAGAAAAAAAGAGACTTTGACTTATAAGTTTTGGGGTGCACATTTGAAATATGTTTTGCTGATTCATCAGTATCTTTTACAAATCTTTAAGTGGATGGTAGCAGCCATGAAGGGCCACCTTCATACTGGTGCCTGCAGTTAGTGCACCTCACATGTTTTAGCAGTTGGCCTCTCATGTTTCACTGGCCTCTGCTTAACAGGCCTTTAGCTCATAGAAAGATTGAAATGTGAATTAATTAGCTTTTGAATCTTCAAGGTAGCAAGATAATTTGTTGACAGAGCTCAGTTTTTAATTGACCTGAGGAAATTTATTTTTGTGGAAAATTTATTACACCTTCTCATAAAAATGTGAATCCCTGGATAAGTTGCTGAGAAGATCACATTAATATCATGCACTGTCTAGGCACACTCTATTTTGTGATTGAAAATCCTAAGCTTTAGTATTGAGGGGATTTTTAAAGTGCATTCTGCTTTGTTTACCAATAGTTGTAAATGAAAGCTTTTTCTGCTTTTTTCCAGGTTCAGCATAGATGAAGGCCAGACCTGGAGCACACATAATTTTACCAGCACTTCTGTCTTTGTAGATGGACTACTTAGTGAACCTGGAGATGAGACACTGGTCATGACGTAAGGTTTTGATTTCACCTCTGTTTTCAGGGCTCTCTCTGTGTATGCACTTGCATAGATTTTCAACTGTGCATGTTTGAGATGGTCCTTGAGTCAGTGGCTTTTGCTTCTCACAGTCAAATAGACACTTACAGTGATGTCTGAACCTCCCTGGTATGTAACCTGTCTTTGAAATCATCTGGCTGCAGTATTTCAGATTTTAAAGATTATGTTGAAATTACATCTTGCAAAGTTACCACTGGGGAGAGTGGAATAATAGGTCTGCTTTACAAATCTGAAAGATGCAGGGGAAAAAATAACTATTTCCTCTTGGCTTTTTTATGTTTTCTACAGATTTTTAGTCAGATCAAAAATGTAAAACATCTATGTCTTCACTGTGTAAATAACTGTAGTATTGTCTTAGTAAATAGCACTGCAGTACTTGATGTAACCAAGCACTGTGCTATCAAATATTTGTTTTCGTTCTGTGCAGTGACAGAGGCAGATGCTGTGAATAGAGTTAAAAATAACCGAATTCTGCAACTCAGAATTGTTTATCCTGTTTATCTGTCTTTTACCAAAGGATCTGGGACATCTGGATCTGAGCTGCACATTTTGCTCCATCTCTAGGATAAATGCTAGTATTTTAGAACTGTCTGAGAGTAAAACACACCTGTCCAGTAGGGGAGAAAGGCACATGCTGCCTGCAGCCAGAGAGGGGAGTGCACTGAGGGCAATGCATGCAGGTTGTTCTGTGTGCTCCTGTTGCAACAGTTTGTGTGATTCTTTATATGCAGCTCAGTGTGCTCATGACAAGCTTTGTCTCCCAGGACTTACAAATGTACCAGTAGCATTTTCCCCAGGGAAAAATAAATTAATAGCCCAGTGTATAAAGGACCCTCAGCAAAGCAGAAATCCTACCCAATGTACTTCCAAGGGTTGTGCCAAGTCCATAGCACTGTGCAGACGTGGGGTTTGGGCTGTTGGTTTTTTCTCTCTTTCTTCACTGCCCCATTTATCCTCCATTATGCATCTATAACCTGAGAAGAACAGCATTATCCCATCATCTCTCTCTTCTCTCAAATACAGGTTTATTTATGATATAATATATGCCACATGGAGACACTTATGCCTCTGAATGAGGGATTTCCATTGATTTCAGTAAAAGTAGAAGGATCAAAAGCTTATCCCAAACTGTACTTACTGGCACATAAAGTGATGTGTGGTGACTGTATGCTCTGGGCTTGGGGCTCTTTCCTTATTAAGTATCATTAAAAACAGTGATTCTGTGAAGATGTGCTTAAATATCTGGCTGAATGGTCTAAAGAGCTCTTGTAAAACATGATGCCTGTCTAAAATCATCTATCTAAAGTACATGGAGCTGCAGCTAGATTTGGTTCATGAGCCCAATCTGACAATAAAAGCATCATGTGACTTGTACATTTCTAGAGGCACAGCAAGAGTCTGACTCTAGTGTGTCATGCCAGGCTTGTCGGATCTTACTTTTAAACTAGTTTTACTGGGCATGGAGGGAATCAAACATTTAATAGCACAGACTGGCCCTGAAGATACATGCAAATTTCCTACCTGATTCTAAAGAAAAAGAGAGGAATAAACCTGCAGTATGTGTTTCATTGTTGCCATTGTATAAACTTCCTCATCTCTCCCACTGCTTTTGACTGTGTCACCTTCAGGGTGATGTTGTCAGCCCAGTGGTGCTCTGTCTGACTTTATGTCAAGACCTTTTGTCGTTCTGTCTGGCTTAGTCCATTTTTCCTGAAAACCTATTCTTGTACTAAATTATTGTGCTTGACTTAATCTACAGTGATTTGTTGCTTTTGAGAAATGCACATTCCCTGGAAAAAAACCCAGAAATCAACTAGTCTATCTTTTCATTTTGTTTGAAAGAATTTTCTTCCTAGTAGAATATGGTAAGATGACCTTGTAAGTGGTAATGGAAATAAATTAATTGAGGAATCCCCAAATCCATTGCCAAGGACCTAGTTTGATATGTTTTCCTAGTACAGGAATTTGATTCTCTTCCTTTGGTATGGAATGTGCTTGAATAAAGACTTTGAATAAAGAGTCAAAATCTGCATAAATTAGTAGAGATAGCACAATTCTGAAGTGGGAAGGTAATAACTGAAAAAATGTGCAGTGTGCAGCAAAATTAAGGAATAGACAGTATTTCATCTAAAGCTTCTAGAATAAACTCCCAAAAGAGTCAAAGAAATTTTAGAAGTCCTGAAATTGACTGTTAAGGTAAAATCCTAGACCCACTGAAGTCAATCTGTGTGTAAGAGACTTCTCATTCTCCAGCATGGTGTCTGGGATATTTACTGGACTTGTAAGTGGCTTGAATTTGAATTTCAGTTCTGTCCTAATTTATCCAGAATCATAAAATCCCAGAATGGTTTGGGCTGGAAGGGAACTTTGAGACTATTTAGTTCCACTCCTCCTCTCATGGGCAGGGCACCTACTAGAATAACTTGCTCAAAGCCCCATCCTGCCTGGCCTTGAACATTTCCAGGGATGGAGTATCCACAGCTTCTCTGGACATGGTCCAATGCCTCCACATCCTTCTTGTGTTCTTCTCTGGGGGGACCCCAGAGCTGGGTGCAGCACTATGGGTGGGGTCTCAAGAGAGTGGACAGGGTGGCAGAATCCTCTCTCTTGCCTTGTGGTCTGCAGTGCTTTGGATGCATTCCAGGATAAAATTGGCTTTCTGGGCTGTGAGCACACACTGATGGCTCATGTTGAACTTCTTGTTAACCAACACCCCCCACTTCTTCTCATCAGGGCTGTTTTTAATTCATTCTTCCACACAGCCTGTATTTGTGCTTGGTATTGACCCAAACCTGGTGCAGGGCCTTGAATTTGGCCTTGTTGAACTTTACAAGGTTCACACAGGCCCACCTCTCAAGCCTTCAAGGTCCCTCTGGATGTCCCTTCACTCCAGAGTGTTGACTGCACCACACAGTTTGGTGTCAGTGGCAGATTTTCTACAGGAGGACTTGATCCCACTGTCCATGTTCCAGCAAAGGTGTTAAACAGCACTAGTCCCAATACTGACCCCTAAGGAATGTCACTCATGATTGGTTTTCATTCCAATGTGAAGTGGTCTAGTAAGCTTTACTGAAGAAAAAGGAAAATGTGAACCTGGTTGCCTCAAGTCTTCATTTCAGAAAGTTTTGTGTTTTCTCCAAAACAGAGAGGAAAGCCAAATGTTGACTTGTCAAAAGTTTTCATAAAACTCATTTGTCATCTGTCAGTCAACATTAATCTAAATCATTCATCAAAATCCCCTGCAGTATTCTAGGTATGTACATACAAATGCTAAGGAAAATATATTTTATTCCATTGTGCTCTGCAAAAAACCTAGTTCCGATTTTTAGGAGTTTTAGTGGTAAAATATTCAAAACTTTAGGAAACTCATTCTGTTTTCAATCTGTCTAGATTTCCATTTCTAAAGAGACCTAGTTATGAGTTTAGGAAATATAAGCAATTAAGTATTCATAAATTTTAGGAAACTTGATCTGTGTAAAAATCAAATTCTAAATGAGGAGCTCAAATTTAGTATTTATTGCTAAATGAATAAGTAAGGTTTGCTAAGAAATTTTCTCAACTAGTGTATTTTCATCAAAATAGTGCATGGACTAGTAGGTTTTATTTTGTTCTAAATTTGTAACAATCAAAGTTACTGCAACTCTGAACAATATTTTATAGTTGGGAAAAATTACTTGCTAATAATGGATTGAGTAATGGCCTAACTCAGTGCAAAAGGAAGAATTTTTGTGTGTCTGAAATATTGATGTTCCTCTCCAGAGGAAATAGTTAATGTAATGAAAGTTTCAAACCTGTTTGAAATGCTTCTAAATCACATCTCAGCTTCTGGGAGTGTTTCCCAAACCAGGTTATTTAGATTGCAGTGTAAACCCAGTAGGCACAATAACATATGGTACCACAGACCATAGCCCCTTTTAAAAGGCCAATAAGAGGTTACATAAAAGAACTGCTTTTCTTTATGTCAGGTAGAATAAAAATCTTCCTTGTGGGTAATTGTATTTTTCCAGAGGGCTATTTTTTTTGTATTGTCTCATAGAATAACAACTTTGGATGCTGCTGGGAACTTTATGGCATCTCTGAACTCCTGCCTACATATTTTGCTGTCTTGAATGCCCATTGTGTTCCTTCAGGTTCCTGGGTGATCATGGAAACAGGAAGATAGTCTAATTTTAACTTACTCTAAACCAGATGAATATTAATAAGTGTTAGATATTCGGTAGAGCTGTCTGGATTTTTGTAACTGTTGATTCTGCTAGGAATGTCAACCTCACCTTTAACAACATCAATAGCAGTCAGCATTGCATGTACTTTTTGGAGCTTTTTGTCACACGTGGCAGGACATTCCTTTTCCTGTCCTCTGAGTACCTTACTAGGTGAAGATACTTCTCTGTGTTTTGAATTCTTCTCTACTGACTTCCTCATACTGCAACACTTATAAAAGGTAGATAAAAGGTAGATAAAGCCTCATTATGATGGAGAATAGCTGGTTTCTGAAGGCAGATTCTGGGTTTTCTTTTCAGCTAGTTAATGTCTTGAATGAGAATCATTGCTCAGTTATGAAATGGTTGTCCTGCTCTCTGCATGAGAAGGAACATATCTGAGATTAAACAGAGGAAATGTGGTGAAAAAAGCATTGGAAAAGCAAACTGCTTCTTCTATTCCAATGCAATCTAGACATCAGCTAATGCAGATGTACAGATCTCTGTTTAGCAGCAAGCCTAATGCTTTTGCTGTCATCTCTGTGGACAAAGATGTTAGCAGAGCAAGTCAAAGCATTGCAGTGTCACCACTATCTTGTGACCTTGGAGTCAAGACATTGTACTGCCCCAGTCTCACTCTGCTCAAAAGAAGTTTAGTGGGTAAAGTTTGTTCTTTAAATTTCTTTCCTTACAGTTTCATATTGTAGTCAGAAGCACAGGAACAGGATGCTTTCAGTGTCACTTTAAAGCCCATAT